AAAGCGGTTTGCGCTGAATATTAGATAAAATAATAATAGGCATTAAGGAAAATATAAAATATGTAAGTTATTTTTTTTTGGTTTATTATATATACTAGGGCACGTGCCCAAGTGCCCTTACGGGCAAACCCACTGATATTTCTACAACACCGTTCATTTTAGCTCCATAAAAGGTTATTACTATTTTAACTAAAAATGAATAGGGAATTTAAAAAAACAGGAAAAAATATTTGTTCCAGTGGCGTAAAAATTAGGAAATAAAAGTTCCACTAACCACGATAAGGCGCCAATGGTTAGTATACCTATGTCAAAATATTACTTTCCCAAAGGGCACACGGTCACCAAATTTGAAAAAAAATATTTATACGAGTTTTTGATTTATGGTAAATTTTGAATCTTTAAGGGTTCATGTTCCTATCAGTGGCGGTTTGCCCGTAAGGGCACTTGGGCACGTGCCCTAGTATAATAAACAAAAAAAATAAATAACTTACATATTTTATATATTTTTCTCAATGCCTATTATTATTATTATTATTTTATCTAATATTCAGCGTTGGTACGACACTGAACGACCGGGCGTTGAGCGACGTTAAGAGCACAGGACACAGTAAATGTGTGCCTCTGTTGTTTTCTCTCTCATTATGATGCGAAAAACAAGGACAGCGACAATATCGTTTAGCAAGAGATGAACACATGCGATGGATTATACGTCACAAACAGGGCGCTGTCCCAGATTAACCTACACCAGATACGAATGTACGCGGCGACAATAGCCTAGAGCTCCCACCACTTTTTTCCTAGATCCAGCGGAAGAAATAGTACGGACGATTGCGTTGGCTCCAGTTTCAGCAGAGCCTTGCAACCGTTGAACGTTTAGTCCGACCGCCTAGGTTACAAAACATCGCTGAACTTGGAATAGTTAAGAAATAAAACTACAAAGAAAAATAACTTTTTTTATAAAGCAGTCAAAAATATGATGAAAAAAAATCAATAATATTTATAAATGGGACAAAATTTTAATTTTTCTTTCGGTTTTGTCTGACTTTTTCGTGGAATTCAAATCTCTGTGTGTATATTTAAGATATAAAAAATTCTGAGTCTTATAAATAATTTAACGGTGTACATTTTCGCAAATTGTTGGTAAGGATGACCAAATTCTATTTTGCTCATCTCAAAAAGGTATGCGTTGGAAATTCGAGGCTTAGTTGACAAACTATCAAATAGAGATATAAATATTTTTTCTAATTTAAAAATATAAAAGAGAAATTTTTCGCTGGGAGATTTTAAATTGCCAAACACCTTTTTTTCAGAGTCGTATGCTTTAAAATGCGTTAACAAGTTAGAATTGTTAAGTAAATTGCATTCTTCTGAAAAATTTACGCAAATTTTGCAAGAGTGGATATGTAATGATTTTTTGATTAAATAGCTACATACCTACATAGTTAAATGCATTTTGAGTGGTCACATTTAGCTCCCTGTAGTCACATTCAGAAATCGTTATTGCCCCAACTGATTGTTTTGAAATTTATTTAATTTTCATTAAGCGGAGAACTTGTTTACCTAAGGGAAAAACGAATTCCGGGATTCCTTTCCAGTGTGTGCCCCACTGCCGCTAGTGCCCACGAGCCGCCACTGATTGAAAGGGACTATGCGTCTAATATTGATTTTTAATCTGTAATAGACAAATTTAAGAACATGAGGAGCAAAAGAATTATTTTGTAGAAGCATTTAGTTTTATCTCTATAACTAGAGTATTTAGTATTATTATATGTATTTTTATTGACGAAAGTGACAGTGTTTTTTGTCCGTATTTTTTTATATGTTATAACTTCTATTTATTTTTGTTTATTAGGTATTTAGAATATTATGATCTGTCTTAACTCGATTATCCTTATTTTGGTTTGTTTTTTTAATACATTTTATAAAACAAAATACCGAATTTTTAATAATAAAAATAGTGGTTCTAAAAAATCATAAAGCGCCCTTTGTCCAGGACAGGGATTCTTACGTAACGAATTACATTACATACGAATCGCATTCTGTGGAACGAAGATAGTCGTCTCAACACGTGCCGAATTAAAAAATGAGAATCCTAGTGCAGGACTGATGTTGATCTCGTTTCGACCCGTGCGTCTCTTGGTCACCTATCAAATATCGGAAATCACTTAAGGGCGCGGGAAAGCGCTTGAAATTTTAAATAAGGACAGTGTGCCGTTTTATCCTAGTGTGCCGTATTATACCAATTTCCCCTATTTGAAAAGATCTTGGTATGACAAATTTTGGATTTTGATTTATAATTTTTAACATCCTGTATCTACCTATTTCGGTAACTAAGCCATTTAAGGGTTCGTCTTCTATATCAAAATTTAGTAAAGTAGAAGTTGAGAGCTCTCAGGGGTAGAACGTTATAGGTCGAATATAGTGACACCTTGTGCATCTCATAGTGATAGCCCTTGAAGGAAATTTGCAAAAGGTGCCTATGAGTAGGAATTTGTTCATTGTTACCAGGAGTAGCGGAATTTCGCTACGTCATCGGATTTTTAACTCTTTAAGAAAAGGAAAGGCCTTTTTTTAAGTAGCATAATTTGTGTCTAGCAATATGTATTCATATACTCTATATATATTTAAGGATTTTTTTATAAAACCGATTTATTATATTGATTTTTTTTTAAATTTCAATTCATTTATCAATTTTGTTTTAAAATGAGTACTTCGTTTGGCAGCAGTGACGTACGTGTTCACTGTTTATATTTTAATTTGAATCAATAATTATACCTACGTGTGAGCTGCAAATTTGTTTATTTCCAAAGACTTATTTCTTATAGTGTGTGATAGTGTTTATATTAAAAATGAAATTTGCGAAAAAGCCCCCATCAAATTGCAATCTATATGGTGTTAATGTCAAAATCAAAACTGAAGTGTTCATTATTTTCCAAGCGTAGGTATAAGTCGTAAAATTTTGTTTCTTACGATAAATGGATATCTACAAATTCATATTATTGAGATTTTGCATAATTTTATCTATAGAATAAAACTGCAATTTGCATTGTGATAGTTTTATTACCGTTTCAAGTATACAAATTACTACACCATTCACTTCATGATATAAGAATAAGGATAGTAAGATTTTTAATTAAGTTTATAAATAATAACCGTTAAAAAGGTACCTGAAATGTCCTTTAAACCACATAATAAAACATATCTTGCCTTTAATAATGTTTCTAGATGTTTGTGTAGCAACCAGATAGGTGAAGACTTCTATCAAATTAGTCATAGATACCTAATAAGTACATGATAAATATTATATTTATGACGAAAGCACGGAAACTAAACTTAAATTAACACTAAATGAAACACAAAAACACTATTATAATGAGAGTTCAAAAACACAAATACAGTTTTATAAACGACTTTTGGTCAAAAATTTGGGAGTGGCAAAAAATTTTTCGCCTCTGGTGGGGGGCCTCCTACGGGGTTTTCACATTTGATAAAAATCTGGCATTACCATCTCATATTATCACGAGCCGCCACTGGCTTATTGTAGTCTTACACAATATAATTCATAGAAATTTTGATTGTTTATATTAATATAGACACGTACTGTATAATATAAGTCGTAACAAATACTTTTTTCTAATTTTGAAATAAGATAAAGTGACTTTTTTTGTACCTAATCGCAGCATGTGTCAAAATATTCTACTTTACGCAACTAATTGCATAGGTAATGTTGAACATTATGAAACCGGTTTCGACAAATTCATTATGTGACCAGTTACTAAAAGAAAACAAATAAAAAATAAACCTTTTTTTATTTTAAAATAAATAATATAAGTAGGTGTACATTATTATTGAAAGTTCATATCAAAGAAGTGCAGGTTGACTTATAAAAATAGAACTTGGTTAAATTTACAACCTAGTAATAATATAGTCTTGTTCCTTATTTTTCATTCCAAATCAGCACAAAATAATTCAAACACAATATACGACAAAATATCCAATTTCCTTGAAATCTAAATAACAAGCAATATAAACACACTACAATAGGTCGTTGAGAATAAATGCATATGATTTTCTATTCGTCAATAAAAGAATGAAGTTAATCTTATACAACTAACAATACAAGAAAGTAGTAATATTGGTTGCATAGATGTCATTTATTTTTTTACCAAAACAAAATTATAAATATTCTAGTCAAAATTTGAAAAAATATTGTATGTAGGTAACACGTTACGAAATGCTGTTTTATATAACTCGTTCATGTTGCGAGACCTCTTCTGCTCGTTCCGTAAATATTCACTCTTTACCTTACCTAGGTACATAAAATAAGACATTTCGCTGTAACTGGTTTCTTAAATAGATATGATTCGACAATGTTTGTCTATTAGATATACCTATTATTCATTCTCAATTAAAGTCGCGTAGTGTGTTAAGTTCATTTCTAATAACAATAAAAAGTGTTCATAAACTGTGTTTTATTATTATAGAAGTATTATAGAAGTCAACATTTTCTGAAATAAATATAATTTTGATCATGCAGCGCCCTCTTTTAACAACTAGTAAAACTGTTAGGGTCGTCAAATAATCTACAAACAGAACACTTTAATTTCAAAAAACTTATGTGGCCTTTTGCTTCATACGCTTAACGTCTCGATTTTGATAAATGTCTATAAAAATACATGATTTGATTGATAAAAACAAACTACTGGTTGTTTTAACATTATCTGAATCCGTTTAATAATTTAAAAATTATATTAACAGAATTTTGATACTTTTAATAACAAAAACTGTGACATGAGGATCAATATTGAAATTAATAATCGAAATCTTTAAACGAATCCGAAATCTACAATGACTTTTTTTAAAATAATTTTTCCTTTTAGATAAACATAAAATTAAAATAGGTAGAAACTTTGAATTTTATATTGCTCAAACTAGGGATTTTATCTTTTCGTACGTTTTACGACGTAAATTCAATGATTAGTAATTGGTAACCATGGAGGATTGGTAACACTAGTAACACACCGGTGACATTAAATGTCATTTAAATCCTTATGGTTAATAATATTCAATAATAAAATTGTTGCTATTTATTGTGAAACATTTTGGATTCTAAACTAAATACGATCATAGAAAACCAGCAAAAACATGGGGGTTCCAAAGTTTTTTAGATATGTAAGCGAACGATATCCATGTTTAAGTGAACTTATAAAGGATTATCAGGTAAACAAAAAAAATGTTTACTTTTTGTATCTAATAACGAACTTTTACAGATTCCTGAATTTGATAACTTATATTTGGATATGAACGGGATAATTCACAATTGTTCACATCCCAACGATGATGACCCACATTTCCGAATCACAGAAGAGAAAATATTCAAAGACATCTTTCATTATATTGAAGTTCTATTCAGAATGATCAAGCCCCAAAAGCTTTTTTTCATGGCTGTTGACGGGGTCGCTCCCAGGGCTAAAATGAACCAGCAGAGAGGTAGGAGATTCAGATCTGCTGCCGATGCAGCTAAAGCGGAAGCTGAAGCTTTGAAAAAGGGGGAACAGCTACCAAGTGAAGCACGATTTGATTCTAATTGTATAACCCCTGGGACGGTTTTTATGGCTAGATTACATGAACAGCTTAAATATTTTGTGGTTGATAAGATTTCGAATGACCCACTGTGGCAAAAGTGCAAAGTTATTCTTTCAGGTCATGAGGTGAGTACTGATTCTAATAGTTGGTCTTTCATACATGATATAAGTACAATTTACTAATACAATATAAGGTAAACTTCTAATTTATGTAGCCAAATATAAGCGACAATTAAATTGAATCATTTTAAAACCCATTTTAAAGTGTTTTAATAAAGAACTGCATAATTTTTGCGGACATTCGATTTTTACATAAGATAACTGATATTTTTAGAAATATTTCCTGATTTCTACGACCAATTTTAGAATTCTCTTCTTCTGATTTGTTAAGACTGATGAACAACCATGGTTGATTCAAAACATTAATATTACTATAATTATTTATAAAAATGTGATATATATTTTTCATAATTACATATGAAACAAAGAATTTAGGTCTAATTTGACCTGTTTTTTTACAAATTTTGCACTGTTTCACTATGTTTTAAAGCCTGTATTATAACAAAATCCTAGAAAAACATTTTTACAAGAAAAAATTATGAACAATAATACACATTCAAACATAACGCCAAACCAACTTTATCAATATATATTTGTGTAAGCCCCAGTAACACAATGTACTATGGCCCCACCTACAAAATGCAAGCCATGTTTAAATCTAGAAACTTCTTGATATCCAATTTAACATTAATTAGGTTTTGGAATTTATTGAAATTATTACATCTAATTTATTTAAATTTGATTTTACTAATGATTCTTTTTTTTTTTGGTTGGGAATAAGACAGGTTGAATTATTTCAGCTTTTTTAAGATATGTAAATAATTTTGTGACAAAAAAAAAACCGAGAATAATGAAATAGGCATGACAACGGCAGATATTATACCTCATGTGTTCCTTAGAATATGTCTTATTCACGACATCACAATATTTGTTTGTAGTTACATCTCCTGTTATCTCTGCATCCAGCGCAGATTTATGGAATATATTGCATTTAAAAATTGATGGGTAAATTATCCAGACCTGCTTTCCCAAATTAAATTTAGTGTACCACATTTCAATACAAAATATAAAACTGAATTTTACTTGACTGCACCTCAAATATTTTGACAAATTCATATATCCATAACATCTGTAACAATTTTAATAGATGCAGAATTAAATTTTGACAAGCTTTTACTCCTTAACAAGTATTAAACATGAAATTAACTAACGAGTAATTACTCAGTCAGGTATACTTTCATTATTTTATTTTAGGATCAATTTGAATATGTGAAGCACAAAGCTATTAATTTATTTTATTTAGTTTGGGCATATTTATTTATTATTGTAGTACAATTTTGTATGTGTCCTCTAATTGAGGTTTAACCTGTTTGGACAATAAAGTATTTTTTTTTAATTATGGTTTGATTATTGTTTTTTGTTTTATTTTTAGACTCCTGGAGAAGGAGAACATAAAATAATGGATTATATTCGATATATGAGGGTTCAATCTGGTTATGATCCAAATACAAGGCATTGTCTTTATGGTCTCGATGCTGATTTAATGATGTTGGGTCTGTGTACTCATGAACCACATTTTAGTTTACTTAGGGAAGAGGTAAGGTTATTTATTTAAATGAGATGTTTTTAGTAACATGTATTTTTTTCTGCTTTCATTCTGGCTTTTGAGGAAGAATAGTTTTTAAATGATCAAAGGTCCTTTTGACCTTTTTATATTATTATCTACATTTTATAGTTTCTTTGTAAATGTATGGAGAAATGGGCTTCCTGATCAATAGTATTCATCCTATTGAAGTTGCAAATTGGTTATTTAAAAAAAAGTCTTTGCTTCTTAACAAAGTTTAAAAGCTGTAACTGTAAATACTCAACACATTATTTACCGTTCAGCTGTACAGCATCTGTTGACTTTTATGTAGACAAAGAGTTATTTAGTATGGCAACAATAAAAAAGTGAATTATTTATGAGTCATTATAGATTCCCACCTAAAATGTAATTACAGATAGAACAAGTAATAAACAATTAAGCTATAGGTATTCTATACAAATTAGGAAAATTAAAGATATTGTACCAATTGAATATTTAAAATTTTTAAATTTTGCAGTGGCACTCTACACAATATGTGTTTGGACAATATGTGTTTGGAGCAGCCCTTTCAAAATGCATATAAATGTAATGGAAATTATTCAATGACTGTTTTTAAAATCGATTTATAAAAAAGATAACATATATCTAGTCAAAGTATTTTGTTAAACAACAGGGTCTTTTAAAAAAATGACCAATTTGCAACTTCATCGCCCTGTCCTGTATATCAAAAACTTGTCATAGGATGGAGTTGTGTTCTTGGACATTATTGTTCAGGAAATCTACAACTGCAAAATTTCACTAAAGTCCGTTTCTTTATAAGCCCAATTAATTTTTTTACTTTTCTTTTTACCCAGTGCCATCAACTACAATATTGCGTTTTCTTATATTTTCTTTTTTTTTAATATAAGTGTAATTTTTCGAGTACTAGATTAATATCTGAAAAATATTTAATTTTAGGTGAAATTTGGTAGAAAAGATACAAAACGAATTACTGTCCCAGAAGAGATAACATTCTTTTTATTGCACTTGTCTCTTTTTCGGGAATACTTAGAGCTAGAATTCGCACCTGTAAAGTACAATTTGCGAAATTTTAATTACGATTTGGAAAAAATAATCGACGATTGGGTAAATAACCAAATCGTTAACTTGCGGTACATTTGAACTAATTTTTTCTTGTAGGTTTTGATGGGATTTTTAATGGGTAACGATTTCATTCCACACTTGCCTAATTTACATATTTCCGAAGGGGCTTTGCCGATTTTGTACAACACTTACATGGAAGTGTTGCCTTCTATGAATGGTATTATTTTTATTAAAGGAATCTGGTCATGGGCCGTAATTTATGTCGCAATTTGTTGAGTTATTCAATATCAAATTAATTAATAATCTCTTGTACAAAAAAAACGTGTTTCATTTTTTAGGCTACATCAATGAGGGGGGGAAACTGAATATGGAGAGATTCGAAACGTTTTTGCAAAAGTTAGGAGAGCGAGATATGCTCGCTTTTGAGGAAGCAAGGGACGACATATTGTACATGGATTCGAAGAGAAGTAAACTGCAGAAGGATGCGGTGAGTGGTGAATTTTAGTTGCACAGATAGTAAAATTATACCTGTAACTATACCGCGACATCTATTTTCATCTCATTTCTTTTTTGCGAGATTTGCCAACGTTTTATGTTTGACATAATGTTGTGACAATTGACGTAATTTTCTGACGTCTGTGGCATTATTTTTTCACATGTTTTTGATATTTGATAAAACATTTCTAACGTTTGACATACTGTGACATTTGGCGTAATAATTTTGATATTTGACGGAATATTTCATGACGTTTCTGACCTTTAACCAATATTTTGACATTTGATGATGTTTCTAATGATCTAACATATTCAATTTTTTAATCACAATCATTTTTGATGGCGATATTTTTGAAAATCGCGCACTAGATTTGGTAAATCTAATATTAAAATATTTCAATATTCGCATTCTTTATGAGACCACAAAAAAGTTGGATATTTCAAGAAAAATAGAATAGGAAGTATAAATATAAAAGTTGTTTTCAATGCCTAGCACTAACGCAGGTTTATTATATAGTTCTACGTGTTTTCGGATTTTACAAAATTCTTATCGCCAAATCCGCTATAAGTAGAGCGTTCTATTTAAAATCACTATAGTCTTAAAAACCTCTCATTATTACCAATTTGTAAAACTGTTAACTCCAAAATGCAAGCATGTGTATTTAGATTTGAAACGTTCGTAGAGCGGAAAATCGAACGCTAAAAATCGAAATGCGCATGTTCATCTGTCGTGGACATGTCGCCGACAAGCTCCACGAACAAAGCTATTATTTCAAAATTTAAAATAACATTTCTGACGCTTGACGCAATATTTTCACGTTTGACGTGAAACTTTGGCGCTTGACGTAATATTGACGTGGTTTCTGATGGTTAACGTGATATTTCTGACTGCTGACACAACATTTTAACGTTTTTGGCGCAATATTTAGTCATTTACGTGATATTTCTGACATTTGAAGTTGAAGTAATAATTTAATATTTGCAGCGCCATTTATAATTTTTTACGTAATATTTTATGGTCCGTTATTAACCGACTACTAACCGCTAGTAACCAAGATTTTTTTGACAGCGGTTCTTGAAATTAACTAATTTCGTGGTTACATTTGGACCACGGTCGAGATTTACGTCACTTTTGTGACAGATTGACATTCGACTTAATAGTAACTATAAAAATATAGCAGTTAGTGAATTGACGTTTGAATCACCATTTTCAGGTAACCGCGTCCCTAATTTAACCGATTTTTCAGGAATGTCAAGCAGATCGGTTAGTTTTGTGCCGAGTAATCGATATTTAGGTTAATAACGGACCATACCCTCTATATTTGACTTGATGTTTCTGATGTTTGACATGACGTTTTTGACGATTGACGTGAAATTTCTGCAGTTTGATGCAATGTTTCGATATTTGATATGACGTTTCTGACGCTTGACGCAATTTTTTCACATGTGACCTGAAATTTTGACCCTTGACGGGTTATTTTGAGATTTGACGTGACATTTTTGGCCTTTGACCAATATTTAAATTGTTACGTAATTTTTCTGATATTTGATGTGACATTTCTGACGGTCGACGTAAAAGTTCCTCAGTTTGGCGCAATATTTTGACATTTCAAGTAACGTTTCTGACGCTTGACGCAATATTTTGACGTTTGATGTAATAGGCGAGTTCGGTCAGTCAGGGGCTGGAGCGGGACAACTTTTAGGGTGCTTTTAAATGACATTTAAGCGTGTTAAACTGTCACTAATCGGACTAAACCTAACGCTAAAAGGGTCGTTTGGAGTTAAAAGTGTTAAAGGAGTTAAAGAAACTTGGCAGACCGAACGCAATGAATATATTCACATTATAGGTATTTTCTAGCGTTCGTGTATTTAAAACGTATTACTCTTATGATTTAAATACATTCATTTTACCGATCAAACTATGACGTCATTGGTCAAATGATTTAAAACTTTCTCTGTCAGATTTAAAACCAAGAGCAAGCTGGTTTCAAATACAAATATTTGATTATTATGACTTACGACAGTGTCAAGTAAGTGTTCTGTGGTGTCGTTTACCAATGGGTGTGTCCCGTGTGTCTGTTTTTTGTTTTTTTTTTTTTTTGTTAGGGGATACAGCAGAGTGAGCAGAGAAGAGTATCAGGTATAGTTAACAGAGGCAGAGGCAAAATCAATAAAAATGGAGGAAGGAATGACTCAGATAAATTTGGGAAAATATCTGCTTACCGTGGATACAGTTACATATAACAATTTACAAGGTAAGTACATTATCTATTATTTAACTAGGTGTACTTTACATGAAATGAAGGAGTTAAAAAAACTAACATATTTTTTAGATCCAGATTTTGCAAGGCAATACTTGGCAGAATTGGAGCGACAGTTTGGCCATGATAATCCAAAAACTACTTTAATTTGGAGTTTAAAAAAACCTACAGAGCTGGATATTATGGCAACAACAGTTTTTTTAGAACTTCGTAGTAATTTAAATGAAGAATTTATGAATAAAAAAACTAATAAAAACCAATTATGGCTACAAATAGCTACAAAATTAAATAGTATGGGATACCATGTAGGCGAGGGTGTTGCTGGTAGAGAAAAGTGTCGTCAGAAATTCATGAATTTACAGGCTACCTTCTTCAAATATAGGGACCAAATTCGCCAAACAGGCGAGGGATTTGTAAAAAAGCCACCTTTTTACGATGACTTAGAAGTAATTCTAGGGAATAGTGATAAGGCAAGTCCAGCAATTATCTTTGATTCAAGTTTTCCCCCATCAGAAAGCCCTATATTGCCATGTTCTTCAGAACAATCTTATACTTTAGAAAAATCCTCTTCTTTAGGACAACCCTCTTCAATAAAATCCCCTTGTTCTGTTCCAAGATCACCTAAAGAGACTCGGCAAATAGAAAAGGTTCAAAATAATCGCTTTAAAGTAAAAAAAAGTATAAGACCGAGAAGAACAGTTCTAACCACAGTTGAAAATATAATAACCGAAGAAAGGACATTAAGACAGCAACAATTTGCAGAACTTTTGGAAGCTGTTAAACAACAGAATGAGCAAAGGCACCAACAAACAATGGGAATGATCGAGCTATTGAAACAAAGAAAAGACAATGAAAATAAATAGCATGTTACTATTTTATTTTTAAAAAGACTTATTTTAGTAGTTTAATTTTGTTTTTTACTTTTTTTTTTTTTTTTTCGTATTTTACTTACTAGAGTTTAGAAAATGTTTTTTAGTTTTAATTTATTATTTTTTTAACCAGAGTTAAAGTTTTATTTTGTGTTAAACAGTATTAATACTTACCTAAGTCTCAAATATTGTATTTTTAGTATTTTTATTTTAAATAAAAGCATATTAATTAAAAAATTTATTTTAATACAAAACAAAAATTAAACTAGTGTAGAAACAAACTATACAAAAAGAATTCACAAACTAAAAAAAATATTCAATAATTATAAAAGGTAATTGAAAATATAATTTCAATCCCTTAACATGTGGGTAATGTCATTCCGTTTCTGGATTGCTTCATTTTCATTATCTTCAATAAAACCATTATCATCCTCATCTTCTTCCATAGGTGCATATTCATTCCATGGATCATGATTGATGAAACAAAAATTGTGAAGGATGCAGCATACTGTAATAATTTTTGCAGCTTTTATTACACTGTTTACATTTATGTAATTTAAAATTCTGAATCTTGATTTAAGAAGGCCAAAGACATGCTCAACTACAATTCTGGTTTGGCTAAGCTTTGTATTGAATCTCTGTTTCCTTACATCCATTTGCATAACTCTTTTGTATGGCTTCATTAGCCAATTCCTTAAAGGATATGCTGAATCTCCTATAATATGATAGTTTTGATGAGGAAAATATTTCCTAAAATTACCGTTTTCTTCAACATCTAGAAATATTCCAGAGTTTCTCAACACTCGGCTATCATGAGCTGATCCTGGGAAACCTACCATTATATTAGTAAAAATTTTGTCAGCAATTACTATTCCCTGTAATTTAATTGAGTGTTGCTGCTTTCGATCTATATAATCAGCTTGCCTGTCTGCAGGAGCTTTGAATTTTATGTTACATCCATCAATAGCTCCAATCGTCCCTGGAAATCCGGCCTTATTTCTAAAGCTAGCCTCAATTTCAACTAATTCTTCCTCATCTGGCCACACAATGTATATATTAAGTAGATTTAAAAGTACATTCACAACTATTTCGGTACATCGATGGGTTGTGCTGAGGCACACATTAAACCTATCTGCAACCGATAGAAGTACTTCACCTTTTCCTAGCCACCAAAGTGTTATCAGGAGCATTTTATTTGCAGGAATTGGCCAATGTCCTCCTACAAACTGTTTTTGCAGTTCTTCTGCGATTAAATTCAGTAGTTTATTAAAGGTTTCCCGGTTCATTCGAAATAATTGAAAAAAGTCGTAATCAACATACTCTTCAATCCAATTTTCTGCAAAATTTTGAATTCTAATGTGTTCTTCGCGATAAGTTAATATTACATTTAAATCTAAGTCATTATTTAAAAACATTTCGTTTAAATAAATAATATTATGGTAAAAATCTTCTTCTTGATTGTTTATTAACTGTAAAACAACTGCCTCCATGATTATTATTTTGAAAATATTAAATTTATCAGTTCAAAAATATAAAAACAAAAAACCATTCACATTTACAAGCAAGGGATAGTTGGTAAGTGTAAGTATAACAAAATAAAATAACATAAAACATAACATAACCTGTCTTATCTCTGCTGTATTCTATTTTCAAAATAATTGACATTTGACCAGATTTGACATTTGATCATTGCATTCTGGCGATGTCTAACATTCATGACGTCAAGACGTAATCGTTGACAAATACATATTTTAAATAGATTTAACGCCAGAAAATACCTTATATGTTATGTTGTATCTAAATTTTGAAGTGACGTCTTTGGCGTTTGACGCAATACCTTTTACTTGTTTTTTTTTTTTTTAATTTGACGATGCATTTCTGACGTTTTAAAAGATTATGACAATTTGGCTCGACATTTCTGACATTTAACAATATTATGGCATTTAGCGTGATGTTTCTGACATTTGACCCAATATTTAGACATTTGACGTGATGTTTCTGACCTTTGATCTAATATTTCGATATTTTATTTGACTTTTTGCTATTTGTCCACATTTCCTATTTATTTGTTATATTTTTTTTTAGAGATGCTTGGAAGAATTCGATATAGTAGGAAATAATGTTATGTTCGAATCTCTAGAACCAACCAAAGATAGTGGATTAGAAGCGTTACTAAAATCTACAGATGAACTAGTAAATATTTCTAAAAGTTTACAGCAATATTTGTAATAAATTATTATTTTAGTGTATAGACGATGAACTCGACGAAAGTAGTGATGAAGATGAATTCTTAAATTTCAAAAAAGACTATTACAAACAAAAACTAGAGTACAAAGATGTCACTTCGTGAGTTACAAACAATATTATGTGGAAAAAATTTGGACTATAATAATTATTGTTTTTTTAGAGACGTTTTGAGGGACCAAGCTGAAGGTTACGTGACAGCCATCCAGTGGAATTTGAATTATTATTATAACGGTTGCTGTTCGTGGTCGTGGTTCTATCCCCACCATTACGCGCCTTATATCTCAGACATTCAAGGTTTTAAGGATTTCAAGATAGAGTTCGATATGGGAACACCATTCCATCCCTACGAACAAGTAAGTCAACCAGCTAAAAATTGGAGCCTTGGTCTACGTAACGTTTCTAACGTCTGTCGTTTTTGACATTTGAGTGTTTTGGCATTTATCGGTTCTGATATTTAACGATTCTGGCCTCTGACACTGCTGAAAGTTGATGATTCTGACGTTTGAATTTTTTGACATTTGATGACTTGACGTTTCTGATATTTGAAGTTTCTGATATTTGACGTTTCTAACATTAAAATTTCTGACTTTGATGATTCTGACATTTTACATTTCTATTTGTCGTTTCTAATAGAGAATTCGACTGGCTGCATTAATGCGCATTTAGTTCGACTTTTTTAAGTGCTGTCTGTTCGACTGGCAGAACCTAATGAATTAAAAGTCAATTATTGCATTCGACTCAAATTGCTCGGTATCAAGGCATAGTGAAATTTTTGTTCGACTGGCAGGCGTTCTTGCTCAAAGTTCGAATTTTTTGGAACTGTACTTTTTTTCAGTGCCAGAGTCATTTTGGAGGTTAGGAATTATTTAATATTTTTAAATATATCTTTGTTTTTATTATTAGTGAGAATGGAAAATCTTTGAAATTAATAGAAATTTAATTTTTGGTTTGGCAACTATAAATAAATATCGTTAAAACTTTGTTAGAAACCTGAAATGTCAAGTGCTAACTGTGCCAGTCAAATAACGATAAAGATGCGCTATACCAATGTCGAATTCTAGCTCGTGCTTGCTGTGTGCACTGCTAGATATAAATTTGAATTATAAAAATGCTACCCAAAATCAATTCAGAACTAAAAGCGCTTTGTCATCGAGCAAGAGCATTTGAGTCGAATCTGCTATAACATCTATAATTTTGTTTGACGTTTCAGGCTTTTTTATTTTGACATTTGACGTTTTTTCCTTTGATGGTTTCGATTTTGACTCTTTGAAAGTTGTCACTTCTTAAATTTGACGGTAGGTATTGACATTTGAATTTTCTTGCATTTGACCTTTCTGACATTGCCGTTAATAGAGAGTTATTGCAAGTTCACTTAAGGTCAGTCACTATTAGTGCCGCTCTTATTTTGACATCTGAGCATGCGTAGATCACTAACTTTATTAAAGATTGTGCCTGTCCATAATAAGAGAGTTATTGCAAGTTCACTTAGGGTCAGTCACTATTAGCAGGCCCATGACACTCCCTGGGCGGGAAAAAGACACGCAGCTTTTAATGCGCTGACGTTTTCGGGATATAACCTATCACTTGTCATAAATCCGGTTAAAAACTCGCTACCATGCGCAGAAATCCATATTTCGTACACAAATACAAACTTTTGTTTACATTTTATCGAAGTAGTTTTTGTAATACATTCACAACTTAAAAACGGAAAATTTGTTGTTTTGATAGTGAATTTAGATCAAAAATACCCCAAATACACTTTAGTGTGTGTTTTATCCTTATTATTACGTATTATTGCTCGTTTTATTTGAGGACATTGGAATAAATAGAGTACTAGAAGTAATCAAGCTAAAAAGATGTCTTATAAGAAGAAAATACATTGCATTCAACCGATTTATGTTTAATATGTTTTCGTAAAGTATTTCCAACATACTAGTTCCTTGAATGGTTGTAAATTGTAAGTGTATAAGTGATAGAAACTGATCTAGTGCTTTGTGCTTCGTTTTTTTTGTGTTGGTGTCCCAGCCCAGCATTCCTAGCCAGCAGTAGTAGCAAAAACATTAACATTGTCTACATTCAACCCGTTTACATGTACATGATTTATCAGCTAAAAGCAGAATACAATACATAGTTCTCTGCAAAATGTAAACAACGCTACAAGGAAAATTGCTCATGTATAAATTCAACAATTAAATCAAAATATATTATTTTTAAAGAACTTATATCAACTATTATGTTAATTATAAATATTATAATATAAATATTTGTAACAAAATAATAGTTGTGTATTAATAAATCTGTTACTACTTCAAAAAATATATTGATTATTGATTATCAGGTATCAAAAATAATATGTTTCTTATTATAGTTGTAAATAAAAACAACACTTTTTATCCGTTCATTTAACACTTACAAACATATGCATATTTTAAGTTGTAAGGATCTGTAGCCTCTTAATTTTTTACATTAGACACAAGACCTGTGATGTCACATTAAATCGTGAATATGAGATAAAGGATTTAGGAGTTGTCTTTCAGTCTAATTTGAAGTTTAATAACCATTTCTTACACATAATTAAAAAAACAATAAAAGCTTTGGGTTTTTAAATCAGAAATACAAAAAAAAATTAGAATTACCACCAAAATCAGATTATATAATGCCTTACTAAGACCCCATCTTGAGTATGTTTCACAAACATGGATGCCCTTGAAAGCCACACATATTGATCATATTGAAAAAGTACAAAAAATATTTTTACCGTACCTTTTTATGCCATAAAAAATAAGATCTCATATAAAACTATGCTCGATAGTTTTAAGATTAAATCTCTTTTACAAAGAAGAAAACAACAGGCTGTGATATATTTTGTACTCTATTTTAAATAATGTTAAGTACAAAGATTGTGATTTGATTGACTATATAAATTTTAATGTGGCAAAGATTAATCTAAGAATCCCAAGTAACAAAAAATTATTTAGTTTAGATCCAAGTAGTATATTTCCTTTTAACAAGATAATGGCTGTTACCAATGAGTTTTTTAGCGAGGTCCAAATAGATATCTTTAATGTTAGCCTAAGAAAGTTGAGGACTGTACTAAATTAAGTTCACTAGATATAAAGGTTTGTTTTGTTTTTAAAGTTCTTGTTACATAATTCTACATGTAACTACTATTAATTTTTTATAGTATCCAATAAATAAATTATACCTTATGGCTGCTTTCAAACAATTCTGTGTGTAGTCACTCAGTTTAAAGTTAATTTTAAATTAATGAGTTTAATAAGAATGTCAAATAGTGATATATATAGTGTCTATGAATTTGCTGTGTGTAGCAAATGGCCAATAAACATAACTTTAATATTTTTATTACAAGTGTAAAAACTACGAAAACCATGTACATATAGTTCCCATTTTTAAATAAATTCATAATAAAAAGTAACGATTTTAGTCTGTCATACTTGAACTCATTCACTAAAACAAGTCACTGAGCATATATTTGTAAAAAAAAACTGCACTAAATAATTTTTTTTATATTTAAAATACATACTTTTCTATAGATTTTGCAGTAAGTACCTAAATAACGTATAGAATAAATTTCTACAACATAGAAAAGTTTTAGATTAGATTAATTTTTAAGAAATAAAGCAAAACCTCTATTTTGTTACTCTAACCTTGTGTGTTATATATTTTCCTTGACAAGCTAACGTTATATTTTGAACTAAAAGTAATTAAACTTTTCACTAAAAAGTAATATTTCACATATATAAAAAAAATTTAAAACGGTTCTGCCTTCTCACATTTGCGAAGACTGCCCTGATATCTAATCTATTTTCTTCTTCAAAGTAATTAAATTGTTCAACCATTGTCTATAAAGGTATCTCACATCTCGCTCATACACACAAATTTGAAAAGCAGCAGAACAAAAATTCAACTAACCAGGTATACCAAGTCCGTGTAAAGAAAACTTTTCATATCCCGAAAACGTCAAGTGTAAACTAAAATTTCTACTTTTAAAGATCAAACGTGCCGCCTCAGAGTGCCAATACTGATTGGTATATATACTGGGCTATTAGTGCCGCTCTTATTTTGACATCTAAGCATGCGCAGATGTTTATGTTCTAAAACTGACTTTATTAAGGATTGTGCCTGTCCTTAATTGTGGATGTTTAAGGGAAGCAGGTAGTGGCGACTTTATAGCTTTCGGATGCGCTCGTCATTTAAACCTTCTAAAATTATAATTTCTAATGCCTCTTTAATATTAGGTACTATTATAAAATTTATTTGACTCTAATTACGATGTCACTATTAGTGGCTGGCTTTATAAGGCGATTTTAAATCAGATACTATGTCTTGAATATGATTGACTACACTGATATAAATCAAAAACAATGACGTCATATTGAATATTGTCTTGAAATAGTCAAGTTTAACATGACTACAGTAAAAACGTGGTCATCACAGGTATGAAATGTCAAATGAAATGACAAATGTAAAACTTTTACTTTTTAATTATTAAATCATTGTTTGGTTGTGTTATTTGTAAAATAGAAAGATTTACGAAAGGGAAAAGTGGGACAATGGTGACGATAGGGTATCAGGTTTAAAAAACAGGTATTTTTTTAAAATAAGCTCCTTTTTTGTAGAGATCTAAAAAAAAAGTCCTCCGCTTATATTTATTTAAACCATTAGATTCCTTTTTCTGAGCTTCTCAAAAACAGGTCAAACATTGTCAAAAATATCATTATATATAACTTTGAATTTAAAAAACGTAGCAATAAGATAAAATGCGGAGCATTTTTGTACTTTGGCGTAACGCGTGCCAGCAAGTTAAAAAGCAGGACAATTACGCCTAAAGCGCGACGTCTGGCAACCCTGGCTGAGTACCTAGATATGGACGCATTTAAGGTTTCTGCAAATGAAAAGCCAATTTATTTTCAAGGTAGGATTTATTAATGAACATGGCTAAAGTTTTGATAAAAAATCAGAGGCCAAAGTAACTATAATACCAATTTTCTCTTCATCCATGATCAGTAAACAAAACAAATACTTATTTTTTATCCCTACAAATTCAAAAACAAATCCTACTACTATTACATAACACACAAACAAAAATTCATGATATCTGTCAATGTTATACCCATTGTGAAGTTAGTGTCAATATAAACCAAACATTTTTAAATCAGATTATTAGAACGTCATTATAATGACGTAAGAACCTTGACCACACTTGACTTGGTCACATTTCTAGTAACTGATTTAAAATCGCCTATAGAAATTTGCAATATCTCTCTATTAAGGACAGGCACAATCTATATTAAAGTTAGTGATCTGCGCATGCTCAGATGTCAAAATAAGAGCGGCACTAATAATGACTGACCTTAAGTGAACTTGCAATAACTCTCTAATGTCACTTGACATTTCTGACATGTGACGTTTCTGGCATTTGACGTTTCCGATATTAGTTCTTTTTAACATTAACGTTTTCGACATTAACGTTTTTGATATTTTCAGTTTACTGACAGCTGTTTCTGACATCGAAGTTTCTAACAATTGAAATTTCTGACATTTGACAGTTCTTAAATTTGACGTTTCTGACATTTCACGAATCTGACATTAGAGTTTCTGTCATTTGACGTTTATTACGTTTGACATCATTTAGTACCATTTGACGTGATCTTTCTAATGTTTAGCAAAATATTTCGACATTTGGATTGACTATGAAGAGACATATTATGACATTTGACGTTTCTTTTTGTTTTCGTAGCTTCTTGCCGTCCTACCGGCCGCCAGTAAGAAATTATTGCCGGAATGCTATCATCCATTAATGACTGACGAAAATTCAATAATAATCGATTATTATCCGGAAAAATTCGAGTGCGATCTCAACGGGAAAAAGCAAGCCTGGGAAGCAGTGGTCAAGATACCGTTCATCGACGAAGTAAGTGTCTTAAAATCTCTAAAGTGGAGATTTTTTTTATCGCCTATTAATTTAATAAGATCTCGATTTTATTGAACAAAAACACTTTAAAATTTATTCGTTTTAAGCCTTCAACTTTAATAATCATAGTTTCTAAGAATTTTGATCATAAAACCATACTTGCAATTCGCTACCTTTTGATTTTAGACCAGGTGTTTTGAAACCATTATATTTTGGTTGTTTGTATCATACCTGTATTTTTAGAAACTGCTATTGGAAGCGATGAGTTACGTCAACGATAAATTGACTACTGAAGAAAGGCAGAGAAATTCGCACGGTCCCATGTTAGCGTACATGTACACGGCTAGAAATAACGGGCCTTACCCTGCACCGTGTTATTTCTCGGAGGTGCCGAAAAATCACACGGAAGTCAAGGCGATGATGTACACTGACATTCTGGTGCCCAAAGAGAAGTTGATAAAAGGTGCTTATCCGGGAGCCCACATGGACACTTACTATCCCGGATTTCCCACCATGAAACACTTGAAGTACAAGGTTAGTAAGGATGGAGGCATTTGAGCCCGGGAAACTTTTAACGACCGTGGGAAAATATTTTCGGCAAATGTCCCGGGCCAACGACCAAATTTTTTCTTTGATGTCTGTTTTTTAAATGTCTTGTTTTTTAATTGTCTTAATGATGTCACGTCTCACTAAATTTTTTATATTGATAAAACTAAGCTGTTGAGACATCGCTGATATCTCAATAAAATCTTATGCGGTGCCATCTACTTTAAATTATTAATTTTAATTCATTGCTAAGAAAAGGTTTTAAATGCACACAAAACAAAAAAATAAAGCTTATTTTGTAAACATGCTGCCTTATATCATTAGAAATACCAAAATACATTTCTTTCAACAGTGTATTTTCATAAACGTTTTAAGGTTATATACTTTCTGCAACAAATCGGAGATCGTTACATGCCTACCTGTTACGTAATATGTTGCAAAATTTGTTATAATTACGTTATTTTATCTAGTCAGCAAAATGTGAACAGTAGGTTCTTTGTTTTACTTGCCGAGTGCAGCTGGAGGTTAAACATTTTAAGATAACGATAAATTAATGAAAAATAATAATCTTGAAAAAATACGTAGACGGATATTTCCGCTATGAAGTATCGAGTCAGCAAATGTATATGAATGATCTCTTTGTCTAAATGCAGGTTCCGCTTCTTCTACATCTGATAAGAAATTATGTATCAATTTAGTAATTTAGTCATTGAGCTGACGTCACATAAACGTGAAGTTATCTAGTAAAAATCCTAATAAGCGTCTGTTTAAATTTGATCGTAGGGCGAATTGAAGATGGCTCACGTGAAGGTGTTCGAGCAGCCCAGTAGGAACGAAAGTATGATTCTGAAAGTTATTCCCGAAGAGATATTCTCCGGCGATAAGATACCCGTCGATCTGTTGGGTACTTCGGTGTACATCGGCTGGCCGCATCTCGTCGAAGCCAGGTAAATTAATGATGTTTTGATGCGGAATATTATATGATATGATTTCTCTTGAATGTTTCTTTATTTTATGTAGCGTGGTATCGATATCGAATTCGAGACGAAAATTAGTATGCATGGGTGGACCGAATCAATACAACGCAAACGATATGAGAAATGGTGATTTGAAGGAGTTTAATATGAGCATAAGTGGAATTACTGAGTAGTGAGTATAAGAAAAATATAATTGAACAATTATTTCTAATAATTTCGATTTGTCAATTTTAGTCAACCTCTCTTCTAGTAGTACTATTGTAATCCTTCTCGTATTAAGTTTTTTTCTTACATTTTTCATGATAATCCGTAAATTAGTACTTTGAATATTTGAATGTTTTCACACATTTTCCATCGTCTTTCCATATATTAAAATGTACTTCCTACTCATATTATTATAATTTTAACTGTATATTTTTTATTATTCTATATTTTTATCTCAATGGCACGAATGTTCTCTACAGTGTGTGCCATAAAGTTCAATCCATATGAGATTTTTTAAATATTACGATTAGAAAAATATGTCGTATTGCATTCACCTCTGTTTATTTAAAATTATAAAATAGTCCATATCAAAGTTGGCTGCGTACATTAGTTATCTGTCGGATTTTGCAATATTTTAAAAATCGTTCAAAAATGGCATTTTTTAAATGCGAATTTGACAGATAACTATTGTCGGTAGCCAACTTTGATATGGGCTATTTTGTAGTATTAAAAAGAATGAAGATATATAATGCTTGGCATACTATATTATACTCGCCATTTTTAATAATTTTTATTTTTAGAATAAATTGGCTTCATTCCCATATAGAGAGCATGATTTTTCTTGATGATTTCAAATTAATATCGTTTTTTGTTTTCGAGTTAGGATTTTTTTTAACATGTACCCTCCTTAATCCCCCATTTTTATTCATTTTTTGTTTCCAAATTTAATAGGCTTCATTCCTTTATTCAGCTTCATGTTGATATCGCTTTTCTTTTTTGATTTCTAATTTTTTTTTTAATATGTCAACCCCCTTTAACTCCTCATTTTTATTTAGATTATTCAAAATCAATACAACAGGCTTCGTCTGCTTATGGAGCTTGATTTTTGCCAAAAATTTCAGGTTGATATCATTTTTGGTTTTTGAATTCTGCTTTTTTAAAAATATTAACTCCCCTTAACCACTCCATTTTTATTTTTAGGCTTTGTCCCCTTAAGAAACTTGATTTTTTCTGAAAATATTAAGTTGATATCGTTTTTGTTTAATGATTTTTAAAATTTGATAAAAATGATTTTGGTACAAAAATTTTAAAATTTGGATAAATATTAAAAATTTTGGTTTTTGAAAGTAATATTAAAAATTTCCCTTATAGATCCAACTTTATGGCACACACTGTATACCTATTTTTTCCTTGTAGTAATAAGAATTTTAATAATTTAATTTTTTACCATCTATTTTATGTCAAAACAAGCGTCTTAACTGTTATTGATTACCCTTTGATTCTATATTCTGTTTTATACATTTTCTGTAAATTATTATGTTTGTGAAAATACAGTATTATTACCCGTATTTTCGAACATTTTTCATAATCTTTCCAAAAATTAGATCTTTGTCTTATCGCATATTTTCTATTGTCTTTCCATAACTAAATATGTGCTTTTACGTGTTTTCTTTTAATTTACATGATGTAGCTATATTAATAATTTATGTACTCGCCTGTTTTCGTACAGTTTTCATCGTTTTTCTATAAATAGAATGGAAATTTCATTATTATCAGTGGTTTCATAATCTTTGGAAAAATGTGATCTTTGTCTTTTCGCTTATTTTCCATCGTCTTTCCAAATATTAGATATGTGTTTTTCCGTGTTTTATTTGTCAAGGCCTTACCCTAAATTAGTGCTTTGAGAACTTCTCCATTATCGCACATTTTCCATCGTCTTTCCATAAATAGAATTGTACATTTCATTTTTAATTTTCTTACTACATTTTCTTCTTTTCATTACTAGAAATTTACATTTTATTCTCCTTGTTTTCCAACGTTATCCATGACCGGTCTATAAATTAGTAATTTATGGTTGTTAAGGGAGTCATAACGAGCTAGCCCGATAAAAATTTAACCCATCACTTAATAAAACTTTATGATTCTCCAGTAATTCTACAATCAAAACTTCATTACAACTTAAAACCCCATTTATAATTTTCTCTCGAAACGGCTGTTTGGATATAAAGGAATTTTTACAGAATATACCTCTTTGTGTACTTCTTTTCATGCATAGAAATGTACTTTTAATTATCCTTGTTCTTACATTATCAATGATCTTTCCGAAAGTACGTTTATCTAATTATTTTCTAACCTTATTACTGGAATTACGCACAAATACAATTCATTAATTTTTCTAGTTATAAAACACGAATGGGCATCGATTTCGGCGAAACTAAAGTGTTGGTGCACGTCAAACAGTTGATAGGAAAGAAATTTGTGTGCAATCAACATGGTAAACTTGTATTAGAAAAACAGTTTGCTGAGAACACTTCGTGTTTTCCGTTACAGACTATAGTTTATAATATTACGGTTCACGATCCTCAAAGTAATGTAGTAAAAGAGGTGGAAACTATATTTCCGAAAAATAGCATTTGTTTTACTCTAGCAAATCCCTTCTATGGATCTCAAGGTGTGGTAAGTTAAAATACGCCTAAAAAAGTTCACGAATTATTAATAATCTGATAACTTTCAGATACAAGATTCCTCTCAAGTGGCTAAAACTGGAAGAATTAAAATAACCATATCAGTATTAGAAGAGCCAGATTTTTCGACGGTCAGAAACATGTTCGATAACGTTTTTAAAAAGTACAAACCCGCTCACTCTATTGCTACTCCTTTATGTAAGTATTTAAATTCATGAAAATATTTTGTTTTCTACGATTGATATACAAAAGTGCATTGTTCTCACAACTTACGAAATCATTTCTATAAATAAACTTCAACTATCTATAATATAATATAAATATGATACCGCTGACTTTTATGTGGTTAAAAACTGTCAAATTTAAGAATTTAATATCAGTATAATTTTGTATGTGTTCACATTTTAGATAAAAATGTTTGTAGTGAAAACAATGTAACTTTTAAAAGAAACGGTTTACGAAAATGATAGACATTGTTACTGGTCTCTTCTACTTTCTGCTACTAGTTTCTCCAAAATATCACGAATTCAAGTCCTGTTCGGAATAGAATTTTCTCAACAATTTTTCATTTTTTCTCCAGTTTTGTGTAGTTATTTATTTATCCCGTTAAAAATGCAAAGCATTTTCCGTTATTTAAAAAAAATATGTTTAGGAAATACTTGATAGTCTTTCGCTATAATCACAATCTGATTGCAGATGGGTAATTTTATTATAACTTAAATTACTACGTTTGAAAATCAGGAATCCAGATCTTACTCAACAATTATACTTAGATAATTTTTTAATACTAAGATTGACGTGTATATCTGCCGCACTTTTTCTGCTTTACACTAATATTTCACTAGCTCAGAGGGTTTGACCCTTTTGAGTCTTCTTTGCGAATTCTTTGAGTATTTTTATGGTACTTCTGCTTTGATTTTTTTTGGTTCCGAGCAAACTTCTTCCTATTCTATTCTAAATGCTCTATTTGTAATGTTTTATTCCAATAATTACGTGTATTGTCTGGAGAATGACATGTTTAATTTATCGCACATCCAACAACGTCAATAATGCAAAAATAATATATAGTGACTTTTTGTCACAAAATATGCTTAATCTGCTTCTGGTGCTGAAATTTCGTAAATATAACATATACAGTAAATAAATAAATGAATAAATCCCTCGTGCCATACTTTGTTAAAAGCTTGCTCTACGTCTAAGAAAAGATAAAGCAAACTTTACTTTCTTCCTATAATTTTTCAATGATGTTCGTTATTCGATGAACTTGGTTAATGGTTCGAATGTTTCTCTCTAAAGCCAAACGAATGTGACGGAATTCTTTTGTTTCTTCTATAATGGGTTTTAATCTTTCGAAATTATAGTAAAGATGTTGGACATTTTTATATCATGTGTGAACGTTTTAGGTATGTCGAATTTAATTTTTTCAAAATTAACGGGCGCCATCCAAGTCAAGGTAGGCGAAGGGAACGAAACCAAGAGAATAAATGTCGGCTTGGATTTGAAACTGAACAAAAAGAACAAGGAAACGCCCGGTTATACGAAGAAAGTAAATAATTGTTGGTTGTATACGGAGAAAACTGCCGAACTCGTCGAACAGTATACGGAGAAATTTCCCGAGGTGTTAGAGTTTTTGAGTAAAAATCGCGAAGATGATATCGCCGTTGATAAGTTGTTTCCCGTAGATAGGTAAGAAGCTAAAGTATATTTCTTTTAGTACATTTTCAGCCATTTAATATGTCCAAGAGTCATGAATCAAATCAAGTAAGGTGATGGAAAAGGTTATTTGTTTTTTTATTTATTTAAATTTCCATGAGACAATATTAATTGTATTGCAATATAACAAGCAAGAAAAAAAGAAAAATGTAAACTAACATCAGCTTCATGACATTTAAAAAAAAATTACACTTATTTTCCCATTATTTTTAGTGACGAAAGATTTAAAGAATTAAGACAGTGGTTGAAAACTCTGCCCACCGAGAAAATAGAAAAATCGCCGTGTAACAGTATCCGTTTAGAATCGGAAGCTGTAGCCGAAATGGAAAAAATCGTTGATTCGTTTAAGAGCAACGACAAGAAGATTACGATGCAAATCAAACCCAGCTTTCTATACCGTGTAAGTTATTACGCTTTTTACTTTCCTATCTGTATACAGTTATAAGGAAAGTATAGGAATCATGATTTTTTTCGACCTCGAGTTTTCGACGGATTTTTACGTTTTGAGGTCCCCTGAATCCGTTTTGACTATTTTCGCGATGATGTATGTGTGTGTGTGTGTGTGTGTGTGTGTGTGTGTGTGTGTGTGTGTGTGTGTGTGTGTGTGTGTGTGTGTGTGTGTGTGTGTGTCTGTGTGTGTGTGTGTGTGTCTGTATAACGCATAACTCATGAACCGATACACAGAAAAACACCAAATTTTAAACTTAAGCTTTGTTTCAGCGTCCAATGAGCTGATTAGATTTTGGGCAGTGTCGGAACATCTGGGGGGGTACTTTATAGGTGGTCATTTTTATATTTTATGGAATATATCTGTTATTTACGTTTGGAGAAGAAAATTCTTCAAATAAAAGTTACTTCTAATATAATTATCTATAATTTTTGTTTTATGCAAAATTTTCCTAAAATGGTCCGTATTCGAGAAATTTGACAAAATGTAAAAAACATAATTTTTTATAAAAATTGTTCAAATAAAAGTTGTTTATAATATAATTCTCTATAATTTTTGTCCTATACATAATTTCTCTAAAATGGACCGTATTCGAGATATTTGAGAAAATGTGTAAATTTCGAAATTTGAAGAAAACTCAAAAACGGATAAAGGAAAAAACATTAAATTTTAAACTTAAGGTTTATTTCGGCCTGACGTGAAATGATTAGATTTTGGACAAAGTTGGAACATCTGGGGGGGTACTTTATGGGAGGCCGTTTTTATATTTTATGGAATATATCTGTTATTTATGTTTGGAGAAGAAAATTGTTCAAATAAAAGTTACTTCTAATATTATTATCTATAATTTTTGTTTTATGTCAAAATTTCCTGAAATGGTCCGTATTCGAGAAATTTGACAAAATGTGCAAAATTCTGATTTTTATGAAAATTGTTGAACTAAAAGTTGTTTGCGATATCGATTTCTATAATTTTTGTTTATACATGATTTTTCTAAAATGGTCCGTAATGGAAAAGTGCTAAATTTAAATTTTTCTGTATTTTCGTTTTCAATGAATATCTATAGAAAAATGTTTCGAGGTAGATGTATGTGTAAAATGTATATATTTAGTTTATCCTCTAAACATTTATAGAGATGCTGCAATAGGTTGTACAAAATAACCGGAAAATGCCTATAATAACTAGATAGGAAAGTCATGTGTTGGACACATCAGATTTTTTGTTTTTAAATTTCACATTTTACATGATATTATTTTCATATATTTAAATTTTAATTCTAATCTTTCCATAAATAAGTACTTTGTGTATTCGCGGGAATTTTCGCACATTTTCTATCGTCTTTCCATAAATAGAATTGTACTTTTTAATTGTTATAATACAAAACTACACTTTCTCAACAATTGTTGATGTTTGCCATGAACATTAAATTATTTTAATTTAAACTAATAAAAAAATAGGTAGCAGCGTATTATGGCCATAGAAAAAGTATTGTCAATTATTAATGAGTTTTCATATATACTATTTCATACTGAACTCAACGGTATTTTTTGTGCTGTAGCAATTAATACTAAATTCGTAAAACTTCAAGGTTTAGCGCATTATGAATATATTACTCGACAAAAATGTCGTTACCTAGCTACGTTGATGTTTTAAAGTGGTTTAACGGAGTTACTTTCCTATTTTGCACCTATATATTATAACAAAAAACAATAAAAACTAAAAAAAAACAGTAAAATTCAATAAAAATTAATAAAAAGCAATAAAAATAAATTAAAATATATTAAAAAAACAAATTTAAATTAAAATAAAATAAATTAAAATAAATTAAAATAAATTAAAATAAATTAAAATAAATTAAAATAAATTAAAATAAATTAAAATAAATTAAAATAAATTAAAATAAATTAAAATAAATTAAAATAAATTAAAATAAAATAAATTAAAATAAATTAAAATAAATTAAAATAAATTAAAATAAATTAAAATAAATTAAAATAAATTAAAATAAATTAAAATAAATTAAAATAAATTAAAATAAATTAAAATAAAGAAATGTCATAAAAAATATGAGGAATGAATTGATAAAAACAACATATCTCGATGTCCGGATACCCCGACAGCTAAGTACAACTTAAAGAAGTCCCATTCTGTTTCATTTATATCGTGTGTTAAATAACGCACTCTTTTTTCTATTTACGTTGTGTTTTTTACCTCACGATATTTTTCAGTAACGTTCCTGTTTCAGTGTAATTTTTATATTTATTTAAGATACTGATTTTGAATTATTGTATACCCCATTTCGCCCCTTTACAGCACCCGTTATTTCTGTACGACAGTATTAGCAATTTAAGCCTGATATAGGCTTCTGAAATCTGTGGCAAGATCATTTTGATTCCTGGCACATTGCGCATCTCCATCTGTATTACCAAATTTTTTTTGAAATCGTATGGAAAGGTAGTCGAGCAATCGACATTAACATTTTCTCATTGGCGAGAAAACTTGTTTTATTTTTAATAAACAAAGTAATTATATTTTTTTAGCCCGAAGTTCAGAACGGCACCCTAGAACCCGATCCCAAAACCAAAACACAAATTCTAGATAGAGTGGTGAACGTCCGACACGGTTTTACGGTACCGTTCGGGTTCAAGGGTACGGTGACCGCCATCAGAAATTCAAGCACAAACTTGGAAAGGGATACCATGTACGAAGTGGTGTTTGACAAACCGTTCAGAGATGGCATGACTTTGAATTGTTCTGACAACAGGGGCTACATGTTACCGAAGACCGCTTTTATAAATATCTCGTACGGGAAGAGGTTGATGGAGGAGAAAATCGGAAAACCAGGTAATTTAAATTTTTGAACATATTTTTAACCGGCCGTAGTCGATAAACTTATTGGGCTACTGTATCTACAACATTCTACACAATTTCTTGTACAAGGTTGATACAGGTTTGAAACGAGGAATTTATGGTTTTCAAGTATTTTATGGTGTAATGGCAGAAAGTGTACTTGTCAGAGTATCGTAAGGTGTTTGCTAATGTGAAGTTTTAACTTGCTGGCACATACAGGTTAACTTCTAATTATTTTTTGGGATTTTCAAATGTGCTTAAATTAAGTTGTAATAATTGTATGAATGGTACATTTGAATTAATCTGTTAAAAATTCACTGAAACCAGTTAAATATATCAAAAATTTATTCGAAAAACATCTAATGTGCCTAATTGATTTATAATAATTTTGAGACTTTTGAACAATTTTCTTCAAACTTGTAAGAAATCATTTGAATGTTAAAAAATTTAGTCGGAAAACATTTATTTTGATTTTTAAGTTCGCCTAGTTAAATTTGTAATAATTTTATGAGTGGTACATTTAACCTACTCATTTAAACATTCCGTGGAACAAGTTAAATGTAACAAAGATGTAATCGGAAAGCATTTCTTGTGATTTTTAACAGTACCTAGTTAATTTGTAATAATTTTATGAATGGTATATTTGAACTACTTCCTTCAAACTTCTAGGAAAGCATTTAAATGTATCAAAATTTTGTCTCAATAAATTTCTTGTGATTTTTAAGTTTGCCTAGTTGATTTGTAATAATTGTACGAATGGTACATTTAAACTACTTATATTCCCTGAAACCAGTTAAATAAATCCAAAATTATTCTATGAATGGCACATTTGAACATTCTTTGAACCAGTTAAATGTATCAAAAATTTACTCCTGAAAACATTTATAATTTTTAAATTTATCTAGTAATTTATAATAATTGTATGAGTGGTACTTTTAAACTACTTAAAAATTCCCTGCAACCAGTTATTTATCCATAATTTACTCGGAAAACATTTCATGTGATTTTTATGTGCTTAATTAAATTTAAACAATTGTATGAATGGTACATTTGAACTACTTATTTAAAAATTCCATGAAACAATATATTAAAAATTTATTCGGAAAATATTTCTTAGGATTTTTCAATGTGCTTAATTAAATTGTAATAACTGTATGAATGGTACATTTGAACTACTTCCATCCAACTTCCAGGAAACATTTAAATGTATCAAAAATTTATACGGAAAACATTCTTGTGATTTTTAATTTTGCCTAGTTGATTTGTAATAATTGTATGAATGGTACATTTGAACTACTCATTTAAAAATTCCTTGAAAGTAGTTAAATGTATCAAAAATTTACTCAGAAAACATTTCTTGTTTTTCGCCTTTCCATAAATAGAAATATATTTTTCAAAAAACAGTTATAAATAGATTTGTATTATTAAAGTGTGTAAATATTTGGCTACATTTTTCCTTCGGATACGTATTTTTTCTAGAATGGTTTATTTTTCGTTTAATAAATAAATCTTGCATTGTGACATCACGTAGCGTTGCTAGGAAATCAGTTTTAAAATTTGTTATTTGTTTTCAGACGAACTAATGGCAAAAGCGGAATCCTACAACAACCAATCCAACCCCTTCAACGATCTAATCCGACCGCAACCATCTTTCCAACAACCGTGCTTCCCGCAGCATGGTCCACCTTTACTCGTACCCCAAACCCACCCGACTTTGAACCCGTCCAATTCGGCATTCGCTCACTTCACCTCCATGAACGCCCAAAGAGGTCAAACGTTCAACATTGAACAAAAATCGGTGCAGGATTTCTTCAACAATCTCGCCGCCAATCCTGAATCGAGTACTATGGAGAATAAGAACCCCATCCAAATAAAAACGAACGATAACCAGAATAAGAACGCAGGTTGGAAAAGAATGGACGAAGGTTCCGTACAGCAGTTTTTCAACAATCAGCTGTCTGGGAATAGACCTGGAGGTAACGTTAAAGACGTGAACAACGCAAATGTCGGTGCTAAAGTTCCGACTGTCGACAAGGACGACCAGGAGTCGTGGAATCGTAAAAATTTCTACGAAAAACCTCGGGATGACGGGTCAGCTTCGGGGACGACGAAGAAGGTACCTGAGAATTGGAGAAGCGGTAGCGGTGTGGATCGAAATCGACAACAGCAACAACAACAACAACAACAACAGGGTGATAATTTGCAGCAGAATAGAAACAACGGCGTCAACTATTTTATGCCAACCTTCAGAGATGGCGGTAAAAGCGAGACGACCGATAGAAAATCAAGGGTAAAGTATTATTTTATAAAAAAAATCTATGCAAGGATAGGATAATATTTCTACTCCTCAACATTCTACCACTATGTTGAAAAGCTTATTTTTAATATTTAATAGGTCGTAAATTAAATCTTATAATACGCGAGTTTAAAAAAATTTGTTACTTCCCGGAAATTTACTGATAGATTTTAAAATATAAATATATAAAATATAAACCTAATATTTTTGTCTTCACTGCTTGCAGCAATCTTCACTGATCTTCATTTAGCTTCGTGTACTATAATAATTGTTATTTACTAAATTACATTAGGTACATTTAAAAAAAAATATTCACGTATCCAATTATCAAATAATCAATAAAGATGGAAAACACAAAAGGAAAGCTTGAGTGGGCAATATTTTCATTTTCGAAGTGAAACTCGCCCTGGCATGAAAAATGTGAGGAGTGAGTTGATAAAAAAAACACATTTTAATGTCTCGACACCTTGTCAACGATATATCTCGATGTTTCAATAAATGAAAATAAACAAGTAAAAGTTTATTTTAATAACAATTAATAAATAATAGAAATTAATAGAAGTGAATACAAATTAATAGAAATTAATAGAAATTAATAGAAATTAATAGAAATTAATAGAAATTAATAGAAATTAATAGAAATTAATAGAAATTAATAGAAATTAATAGAAATTAATAGAAATTAATAGAAATTAATAGAAATTAATAGAAATTAATAGAAATTAATAGAAATTGATAGAAATTAATAGAAATTAATAGAAATTAATAGAAATTAATAGAAATTAATAGAAATTAATAGAAATTAATAGAAATTAATAGAAATTAATAGAAATTAATAGAAATTCATAGAAATTAATAGAAATTAATAGAAATTAATAGAAATTAATAGAAATTAATAGAAATTAATAGAAATTAATAGAAATTAATAGAAATTAATAGAAATTAATAGAAATTAATAGAAATTAATAGAAATTAATAGAAATTAATAGAAATTAATAGAAATTAATAGAAATTAATAGAAATTAATAGAAATTAATAGAAATTAATAGAAATTAATAGAAATTAATAGAAATTAATAGAAATTAATAGAAATTAATAGAAATTAATAGAAATTAATAGAAATTAATAGAAATTAATAGAAATTAATAGAAATTAATAGAAATTAATAGAAATTAATAGAAATTAATAGAAATTAATAGAAATTAATAGAAATTAATAGAAATTAATAGAAATTAATAGAAATTAATAGAAATTAATAGAAATTAATAGAAATTAATAGAAATTAATAGAAATTAATAGAAATTAATAGAAATTAATAGAAATTAATAGAAATTAATAGAAATTAATAGAAATTAATAGAAATTAATAGAAATTAATAGAAATTAATAGAAATTAATAGAAATTAATAGAAATTAATAGAAATTAATAGAAATTAATAGAAATTAATAGAAATTAATAGAAATTAATAGAAATTAATAGAAATTAATAGAAATTAATAGAAATTAATAGAAATTAATAGAAATTAATAGAAATTAATAGAAATTAATAGAAATTAATAGAAATTAATAGAAATTAATAGAAATTAATAGGAATTAATAGAAATTAATAGAAATTAATAGAAATTAATAGAAATTAATAGAAATTAATAGAAATTAATAGAAATTAATAGAAATTAATAGAAATTAATAGAAATTAATAGAAATTAATAGAAATTAATAGAAATTAATAGAAATTAATAGAAATTAATAGAAATTAATAGAAATTAATAGAAATTAATAGAAATTAATAGAAATTAATAGAAATTAATAGAAATTAATAGAAATTAATAGAAATTAATAGAAATTAATAGAAATTAATAGAAATTAATAGAAATTAATAGAAATTAATAGAAATTACTAGAAATTAATAGAAATTGACAGAAATTGATAGCAATTGATAGAGATTAATAGACATTGATAGAAATTAATAGAAAATTAGTTGTTAACTGGAGAGTCGAGAAGGTGGACTCGAATTAAAAATAGGGAAGCAATAATAGTTATTAGTAGTAATAATAATTAATAAACCGTTCTTTTTATTACCGTAATACTAAATATAAAAAACGATATTTTTTTTATCTTTATATTACCGTAATACTAAAAATAAAAAACGACTTTTTTTCAAAGTACAATAATAGAACTGTAAATAATGAGTAATAAATAATATAGTAAAACATAAAATAATATTTATTATTTATTACAATTTTTATTATGTATCTTTTTATAATAATCTTAAATATTTATGTACTACTACTTTCCGAATAAATATTGTGATACAAAACATATTATGGGTGTTATATTTTCAAGAATCATCCATAAATTATTACTTGGTGTTTACTCGCGTTTCCCATATTTTCTATCGTCATTCCATAAATAGAAATGTACTTTTTTTGCATTTTCATGATTTTTCCATGAATTTCAATTATTCTCTTAACAATACACATGTGTTACACAGATGTAGATACATTGAGACTTTTTACAGGGTATTTCATGTGTAAATATTCTAATTGTAAAATTTTAAGCTAAAAATATAAAGATTTAATCCAAATCACTTGCTCCTTACTTTTTACTATAATTTAATGTCCTGTATATACATTCTGCCGTCTAGTTAGTCATAAGGATTCGTTTCTTTGGTAGTATTAGTCTTTGATTTATTTAAAGCACTTGTTCGTTTCTTGCTTTATTTATCGTTTTTTTTTTTCTTTTCTTTGTCTTTTATTTATTGTAATATATTTAGGTATGTATGTATATTCTTTGTAATTGGGTATAAATCCGTTGTTAGTAAATATTATAAATAAGTACTATGTGTTCTTCCGCGTTTTGCACTTTTTTTCACACTCCCGTGTTTTCTTATAATGTCCATTATTCTAAAAATTAGTGTTCTTACTTTTCGCATATTTTCCATTGTCTTTCCACAAATAGAAATGTGCGTCCACCTAACTGTCGTATATGTTCATATTCATAAGTCAGCGTGGCAACCGCGCTTTACCTGTACATCGACGACACGCAGTGTCCTTCAGGTGGTGGTAGCATGAATGTGCGAATTGTAACAGAAAACAGAATAAAGCGGTCAAGGATAAAAACCTGATACCTACTAGAGACATGGTGCCTTTTATTTACTATTATTAAGTATTACTTCTACACCCTCAGTAACATACATAACACTAACCAAAGTATATTAACCGTTGAGTAGCGACATAAAGCGTGGGTGTCTTTGATCTTGTGTGGTGCAAGTTTTCTTTCTCTCTCGTTTGACGTTATTGACGGAAGGACACACTAAAACACTGCTCGAATTATGAACTGGTCTTGAATGTGATGTTTACACTGCTCGACGTAATTTGAAGTAAAGCTCTTTTGTAGTTTACATTTATAATAAAGGTTTGGTCATTGGGCAGTTTTATATTTATGAGTATTTAACTTATGTAGTAAATATAAAAATATATATCACTATTGATAAATTTCAATTTTTTTACCTACGTCCGGATGAGCTAGAGACTTGAAAGTTGGTAGGTGTACAGGGTTTTGATTTTTGATAACAATAAAAATTATTACTTATGGACCTTCTTATATATTAATCGAATTGTCTCAAACTTTAAATTTCGCGTTGTTTAAACATGTCGCTGAATACAATTTTTGACTAATAATGTGCTCTGTTACTCAAAACTTTTAATTCACGTTTAAAGTGTTTGACAGAGGTATCTGATTTGACAAGTTATTCATACAACAATATGGAAGTCAATGTCAAATCTGATGACGTTCCGTGTATCATTCTAATTTTTGATAAATCTTACTGTTAACTACGAAAGCGTAGAAGAATCACAGTGAAAAAAATATATAATTGACACTTGACAGTGATATCTGTCAATTTGTGCTAATTTTCACTTACATCTGTCAATTAGGTCTAATTCCCAGTTCTAGCTGTCAAAAATTGCACTAAAAAGTAAATTGAATGGACAGATCTTTATTTAATTAAACAAAAAGAATTAGTTCTTTTGTCAATGGCACATATATCTTTGAGATAGTGCAGAGATGATGGTTTGGTTTAAATCAGGCAAGATTACTGGGTACCTACTTGAGTGCGTTAATTCGTTTACGAATATTTTTTTAGCAGTTATTTGTCAGGTTTACATATTGTTCACTTTTTAGTGCATATTTTTCCATGTTAGTGTGACGACCTTAATAAAATCGTTTATTTTAGAAGATTTTAATTATTTAATTTATTTGGTTCTAATTACATATCCCCGAAAAATTAATGAATTTTGGCATAATGAAAAACCCACAAAAACAATAAAAGAGAACAACAACGAATTCCTATGTCAGCTGCCGGACTAAAGTGAAAGGGGTGTTTAAATCTTTAGAAGACGTCTCGCCTCTCTATTTCGCGTCGGCGCACTAGAATTCGGTTCCCCAGCTGTCGCTACTCAACGGTTAATATACTTTGACCTAACACTGATTTTATAAATAATATAGTGTGATCATTGAACGTAAGAGCTTAATAAAATAATTTTTTCTATTGCAGACTGCAACTGTAAATACAGATTTTCTAAAAAATATACTAGGCATCGGACAAAGCGAAGGCAAAGAAAAAACTATTCAAAATAAACCGCCTTATACAGCTAAAAATCCTGTCGCTACAATACCGACCCTCACATCACAGGCCAACACGGTTAGAAATTCTTCCAACGTTTCCTTCGATATGCTAGCGGTAAGAAAATCGACGCAATTAAGTCTTTTCGGTACAAAAAATCTCTCAATTTTTTTTAGCAAGTCGCAAACACTCCCGCCACCGTCCGTTTGTTAACCTACTACCAATCGAATTTGCTAGGCCTGCCCAGGTACCAGTATTTCACGGTCGAAAGAAACATGGTGTGCGCGCAAATCACTCTGAACGACGGCAAAATAATGATTGGCCAGCCGGCTAAAAATCGAGAAGAGGCCAGCGAAAAGGTGGCGGCCATCGTGCTAGACGAACTACTCAAAAAAGTAAGGCAAAGTTTGTACTACTTTAAATAATTGATTATATCCTCAATCGATAATTATTACATTTGTCAATTATCATTTTAAACTGTCAATTGTTATTCTTACATGTCAATAGTCATTTTTACATGTCAATAGTCATTTTTAACAGCCAAGTGTCATTCTTAACTGTCAATTGCCATTCTTTATTATCAGTTGTCATTCTTAACTGTCAGTTTAAGTTCTCAACCTTCATTGCAATTCATTAATCGACGTGATTAAACTTGTCTTTATTGATTTGGTGTTTAAAATGTCAATTTTCATTTTAAAATGTCTATTTTAATTTTCAAATGTCAATTGTCATTTGAACTGTCAATTTACATTATCAACTGTCATCGTATATCATCAATTGACGTAATTAAAATAGGCGTTATTGATTTTGTTCTTAAAATGTTAATTTTTTAACTGTCAATTGTCATTTTGAATTGTTATCAATCGACGTGATTAAAGTAGGCTTTATTGATTTGGTTTCTAAAATGTAATTTTCACTTAAACTGTCCATTATCATTTTCTACTGTCAATAATCATTTTCTACTGTCAATAATTGTCAGTTTAAGTTCTCAACTGTCATTGTAATTGAATCAGTGAGTTCGAAAACCGGACAAGTCCAAAATTTAACATTTTAAAGTAAGATAGCCATTTTATTTAAAATTTGTCTCTTCATCGATTGAGCTTAAAAAACCGTACTAGATACCTATCCGTTAACGTAGTACAGCTGATTACACCCGTGAAATTAGGCGAAAAACCGTACATATTCGTGAGTCGTTAAAAGGTTTTTATTGTTTTTCTCGGAAGGCTGATTTTGGACATGTACGGTTTTCGAACTCACTGATTCAATTCATCAATAGATGTGATTCAACTAGGCTTTGTTTATTTGATTTTTAAAATTTAAATTTTCATTTTAAACTCAAATTATTTGTTCTTTTAGAACTGTCAATTTAAAGGTTCAACTGTCATTTTAAGCCATCAATCAACTTGATTAAACTAGTCTTTATTAATTTTCTTCTTAAAAGGTCAGTTTTCATTTTAAACTGTCAATTATCATTTTGAAATGTCTGTTTAATTTATCAAGCCATCAATCGATATGACTAAATTAGGTTTAGTTGATTTGGTTTTTAAAATGTCAATCTTCTATTAAAACCTAATTAATTAGGCTTTATTGGTTGTTCTTAAAATGTCAACTTTCATTTTAAATGGTCTGTTGTCATTTTAAACTGTCAATAACTGTCATTTTTTTAATCTGTCAATTGACATTTTAAAATAATTGTATTTTTAAACTACCAATGTCATTCTGAACTGTCATTTGTCATCTTAAATTCTCATAATTGTCCTCTGTCATTAGAAGCCATCAGTCGGCTAGTTTAAGCTGTCAATTGTTAATTAGTTCGGCAACTGTAAGTTAGGGTAAATTTTTCTATAAGATATAGCCCAAAAAACTTAGAACTGTCAGTATAAACTAGCAGTTTCCAATTTAGTAATCCATTTTCAGAAGCAATTAAGAAACTAAGAAAACCGTTGACAGTATAATTCTGTATTACTTAAATCTTTGATTTTATTGTTAATTAGTCAAAATATCATTTGTTTACGCTGTCAGTTCTCAGTTTATTACTATCAATATACGTTGTCAACTGTCAGCTATCAGTTTAAGCTGTCAATTGTCATTTTATTACTATTAATATACGTTGTCAGTGCCAGTTATCATTGTCAGCTCTCAGTTTAAGCTGACAATTGTCGATATGTTTGAGTTTCATTACGAACTGTCATGTATGTAATTTTTAGGGAAAGTCAGTAAACCAAATCGTCCACAAACCGAATGAAGTCATTCCCACTCCGCCTGTCAATTGGGTACAATCGGAAAACAAGGAAAACAAAGAAATCGCAAAGGTAATTTTCTTTTGTCTAAATTAGAAAAATGATAATTCTCTACTTAATTCTGTTGATATTTTTCTCTGCACACGCCATTTAACCAATTATTAATCCTAAGCCATTTCAGTGCTTAAAACAGTTTTGGGACGATTAACATATCAAAATCATAAGTAGTCCTTTTTTATTTGTGGTACGCATTATGCTATAATGCATATCATCATTTCAAAACAATTTTTTAATTGGTGGTACATATATGTACCACTAACTTTTTGCGGTACGTATATGTACCACTCGGAGGAAACTTACAAAAAGATATGGGCTCTATCTGTACAAATACCACATATTGACAATAAAATTATGGTAAATATTTTGTTTCTTAGAAAGAACTTTTTCGAAATGTGTATTAAGATAGATTTTTCAATTAAATACAACGGGCAGGAGATCCATAATAACTCTGGTATATATAAGTACCAATAGTTAAAGGGTTAAATAACGAAAACATTTTTGTTTCGATTTTTAAAGGGCTGGTCTCGCTGGTTTTTATTCAACTTTTTTTTTAAAGGGTATATGTATGGTACCACTTACAAAAATATTAACTTATTCAAAAATTAAAAGTTCTGGGCTCTATCTGGTACAAATACATATCACATGTTGACTGATAGTTGAACTATTGATTATCAGAGGCGCTAAGTAAAATCATGGCAAATATTTGTTTCTTACAGAGCAATATTGGTCGAAATGGGTATCAAGATCGATTTTTTAGTTAAATACAACGGGCCGATGATTTATAATAACTGGTAGCTGGTACATATATGTCTCAACATCTTTTAACGAAAATTTATTTTTTTGCTTTGTTTTTAATGTACATGACTCCGGCGGCTTTCAAATCAACATTTTGAATTGCTATTGTTAATAGCTTATTACGCTATAATGCGTATCATCATTTCAAAATAACATGTTTCATATTAACTCTGGTACATATACGAGGGTGGATCAAAAAGTACCCATGTTAGAAAGGAAGAGGCAAGTTTTTCAAAAAAAAATGTATTTCTATTTTTCAACGTAATCTCCTTTTAGTGCTATACACTTTTCCCAACGTATCTGCCATTTATTTAACCCCTCCAAAAAATATGATTTCTCGAACTCCGCAAAATACGCTTTAGTCTCGACGATAACCTCCTCGTTAGAGCTGAATTTTTTCCCCCGAGCCACGTTTTCATGTTGGGGAATAAAAAAAAGTTGCATGGATCCAAGTCGGGCGAGTACGGTGGGTGCAACAGCAATTCGTACTGCAGTTCTTGCAATTTGACCGCGACAATTCTCGATGAATGTGCTGGTGCGTTATCGTGGTGAAACAGGACTTTTTTCTTAGCCAAATGAGGCCGTGTCTCCTTCAATTTGGCATCGAATCGGTCGAATAATTCACTATAGTATTGCCCTGTGATCCTACTTACTTTCTGCAAAAAGTCGATGAGGATTATTCCCTTGGAATCCCAAAAAATCGTGGCCATGATCTGTCCGGCCGATGGGTCCGTATTCGCTTTCTTCGGAGCAGATTCACACCGAAAAATCCATTGCTTCGACTGTCGTTTGGTCTCTGTCGTATAATAATGTGTCCAGGTTTCATCAACGGTGACGACTCAACGCAAAAACTCCTGCGAATTTCGATTAAAGAGCTCCAAACACTGCTTCGACATTGACAGCCGTATCTGCTTGTTGTCCACCGTAAGCAATCGCGGCACCCACCGGCCGATACCCTTCTCATGTTTAACTTATCATGCAAAATATTAATTGCCGTTCCGTATGATACGCCTACGGCCTCTGCTACTTCTCGCACTTTCGTTCGGCGATCTGCGACAATCATGCCTTGGACCTTTTTAACGATTTCCTCGGTAACAACGTCTGCCTGGCGACTTGGTTGTTTCTCATTAAAAACAAATGTACGACCACGTTTAAATTCGTTGAACCAATATCTTACGGTTGTCATAGATGGTGAAGGGTCCCCATAGACGGCATCCAACTTTGCCTTTATTTCATCGCATGTTTTTCCATCCAAAAATAAAAAGTGAATTACGGATCGATATTGTTCTTTTTCCATTTTATTGATTAATGCAAAACACGTATGGTACAAGTGGCTGCCAAATAAAAACCAACCTATGAATCAGTTTGAAATTTAGTATGGTGTCGTGTGAAAGATGACAGTACCCGACAGTAATGCCAACTTCCCTCAGCAATGCCACCTGCCTTCAAACACGGGTATTTATTGATCCACCCTCGTATGTACCAGCATCCGTTAAATGGTTTTAAAGGACAAGACTTCGACGGCTTTTTAAATTGCTATTGTTAATAGCTTATTGTGCTATAATGCATTTCAACTTTTTGTGGTATGTATATGAACCACACGGAGAAAACTTACAAAAACACTAATTTATTTAAAAATCAAAAGCTATGGGCTCTATCTTAATTATCTAAATTATACGTAGTGTTTTTTTTAATTTGTGGTAAATATTTGTATCATTCACTTTTTTTAGGTATGTATATGTACCACTCGGAAAATTTTACAAAAACTATCTTATTTAAAAATCAAATGCTCTAGGCTTTATCTGGTAAAAATACGTACCACATTTTAACAGTTGAACCATTATCAGATGGCGCTAAGTAAAATCCTGGCAAATATTTGTTTCTTAGATAACTATCTTGGCTGAAGTCCATGATTTAATTAAATAACATAATAACTCTGGTACATATACGTACCAGCATCCGTTAAATATTTAAATGACGAAATTATTTTTTTTCTCTCTCAGTTTACTAAGGTGTCCTTTGAGTCGGCAATGAGCAGATACAGGCTTTCGATCTATTCTGTTTAAATTCACTCAGATATATCTTAGCCTTTCTGTCTTAGCCTAAGAGATTGTTCCAGTTACCGGTACAACGGGCAAATGATTTATAACTCTGGTACATATATGTACCAGCATCCTTTAGAGGGTTAAATAACGGAAATTTATTTTTTTGCTTCGTTTAGCATGAAAAGAAACCCAGTGAATCAACGACAGCGACATCTGTGTTAAACAATTCGTTCGTACCGCTACAAGCCGTCAAAAGCCACATCAGCAAATCTAGCGGTACTCAAGGTCAAGGTGTACAAATCGATAATAACGCTAAGCAGAGTGTGAGTTCCGATAAAAAATACGATGTTCATGATAATGCCAAACAGAATCAAGTAAGTTTTGTCGATTTAATGACATAATTTTGTTTTAATATGCTGGTTTTATTCAAATTACATTCTAGACATTCTCCGCTGCTGATTGGCGGTTTTCTTCTATATTTGTAACCATCTTTAAGGCACGTTGGAGGCAAATTGTTTTACTGATAAGCTCAACACCTAATGTATTAAATTTTGTACATAGAAAATTATTTTAATTTGTCGTGCTGGAGTGGCACTTTTTCTGTTTATGCAATTCGTCCAAGGATAAAACACTTCAGTCTCGTGGTTTATACGCTATTTCGTGCATTTTAGGAAAAGAAAGATAAAAAAAATATATGAAAACCCACTTAACGCTACTGTATCAAAGCAATAACGATGTCAGTGCCTGGTTGTTGTTGTAGTGTTAACGTATATTGTACTTTTACTTTGTTCTGTATTTTCGGTTTTACGGTATAAACATATTATACTTTTAATCCCTAGGGAGGAAAAGAGCCATTAAGTATATTGTTATTTTAATCTCTGGGGATTAAAAGTACATTTTTAATCCTTAGGCAGTAAAAGTGTCCCTTTTAGTCCCTAAAAATGGGACCCAAAAGTATACTTTCAATTTTTAGTTTAAGTTGACCAGTCATTATAAACCATCAATCGACTTGATTAAACTAGGCTTTATTGAATTTTTAAAATGTCAATTTTTAGTTTAAACTCGGTTGTCAGTTAAGTTGTCAACACTGTCATTTTTTGAACTGTAATTTGTCGACGTAATTAAATTAAAACTGTCAATTGTCGATTTAAGATCTCGACTTTCATTGTAAAGCATCAATCAACGTGTTTAAACTATGCTCTATTGATTTGGATTTTAAGATGTCAATTTTAATTGTAAACTGTCAGTTGTTAGTTTAAGTTGTCAACTGTCAATCGACTTAATTAAACCAGGCTTTATTGATTTGGTTTTTAAAATGTCAATTTTCATTTTAAACTTAGGGTATGGTCCGTTGTTAACCGAAATATCGGTTACTTGGTTCAAAACTAACTGCTCTGCTGGACATTTCTAAAAAATTGGTTAAATTAGGGACGCGTTTACATGAAAATGGTGACTCTAACGTCAATTCACTAACCGCTAAATTTTCACGGTTCTATTACTATTAAGCCGAATGTCAATTTGTCATAAAGTGACGTAAATCTCGGCAGTGGTCCAAATATAACCAAGAAATTAGTTTTTATCAGGAACCGCTGTCAAAAATCCTGGTTGTTTGTGCTTAGTAGTCGGTTAATATCGGACCATACCCTTAGGCATTCCCACGACCTGTCAAAATGCTGACAAGTGGGAACCGACAGTTTAGATATGGCGTCCCTGTGGCTTGCTATCGTTGAAAGGGTCAATGATAAGAATGATACATATGTAGTTGTATAGATTGCTCAAAGCGGGTCGTTTTATGAGCGGCCATATTGCCTCGCAAGTGATCATTAATCAGAATCGGTTTAGCAAAATGTGTTTTAAAACCAATTTTCAGCCTTTAAATATAGTAAAAAAATAATTACCTACATTTTTACTTCAAGGCATAAGCTTATGTTTATTTTGAAAAAGATGGATGATCAATATATATAACTATCTATTTCATTGACCCTGTCAAAGGGTTCAGTGCCCTTACCATCCCTAAATGTTTTTTAAATGTATTTGTTGTTGTTAACGAATGCGCTAAGATTAATTATTAATAAACAAAATTTCAATTTTTTACACACTGAAGTACTTATTCCACTTACATTTAATTAGTAAAATGCTTATTTTATAAAAAAAAAATCGACATTTTTTTTGAGTTTGTATTTAAAATTTTGGTGATTGTTCTATAGTTGTATGTGATGATGATTCGTTTGATTGAATCGTTTTTTTTTTTTCAGGACCAAAAGAACGCGAACGGCGTAGTGCAAAGGCCGAAAAAAGAGCGAAAGACCAGGATCGCCGCCAATTTTCTAAACAAGAAGAACTGATCGAACATTTTATAAAGAGATTTATTTTTACAAAAAAAGACAAACTGATTAGATAGTATTTTTTGATATATTAATCATTATTACGGACTACTAGAATAGCCTATCATTTGTTTCGACTATTTTTTTTTCTTATTCGTTTATTATTCATAAGCGTGATATTTTTTATCATTGTTGTTCAGTCGTGTAGAGGATGAGAAAACCATGCACAAAATACTTATTTAGTCAAATTTATTTCGTCGTTATAACTCCTTTATTTTTAAGAATAGAAAAATTCTATTTTTTGTTCTAAATGAATATGTGTTTATGTCGTGATATTTAATTTTTTTTATACACCTTTTAGTAAATGTAGGACAACCATGAACTTCTTTAACTCCTTCACTTCCTTTTCTATTATGTCGCCATCTCATGGCCCACATCAATTTTTTTTAATACTTTTTTTTACTATGTAATTCCACTAAATATGTAAACCCAATTTTACACAGAATTACAATGTTTTGGTTTATTTTACAATCACCAACAGTAGCTTCATCTCCAACGGAACGTCTATTAAATCAGGTGATCTGGCAGGCTGTTAAAACTTTACAAATTCCTTTCACTGAGGTAGCTCAATTTTTTTGTCAATCCCTTCCTAATGAAAGAGGGAAAGAATGCCATACTAACAGGAAGTGAACCGAGCATTTAAGTTTTAGACGTGCCTCTTGCATTAAAATAATCCTTTGTAATAATTATAATTGTAGATTAGTAAAAAATAATAATTTGTTTTTGTGCATGGTTTCTTTGGAACCAATTATTTTTGTGCGTCTTTTTTAAAATATAGGAATAAGAACGAGTATAGTTTTCTTTTAGAATGCTTGCAGAGAAACTGTGAAATTTTATAAAAAGATGAGATTAAGCTAGACTTTATTGATTTGGATTATAACCTGTCAGTTGTCTTATTAAACTGTCAATTGTCAGTTATCTTAATAAGTTGTCATTGCAAGACATCAATCAACGTAATTAAACTAGTATTTTAAACTGTCAGTTGTCATTTGAAACTTAATTTTCAGTTTAAACTGTCAATTGTCTGTTTAAGTTCTCAACCGTCATTATAAGTCTTCAATCGACGTGATTAAACCAGGCTTTATTTATTTGAGTTTTCAAGAGTCAAATTTCATTTTAAACCGTTATTTTAAACTGTCAATTATTAGTTTAAATTGACGACTGTCATTGTAAGTCATCAATCGACGTGATTAAACTTGGCTTTATTCGATTTAATTTTTGAAATGTCAATGGTCATTTTAAACTGTCAATTGTTAAAATTGTCAACAATCGACGTAATTAAACTAGGCTTTATTGATATGGTTTTGTAACTATCAGTTTTCATTGTTAACTGTCAATTGTCAGTTTTAAGTTGTCAACACTGTCATTGTAAGTCATCAATCAACGTAATTAAACTAGGCTATTCATTTGGTATTTAAAATGTAAATTTTACACTCAATTATCATTTTGAACTGACATCTGTCTGTTCTCAACTGTCACTAGGCTTTGTTGATTTGGTTCTTAAAATGTCAATTTTCATTTTAATCTGTAAATTACCAGTTCAAGTTGTCAACTATCATTGTCAGACATCAATCGACGTAATTAAACTAGGCTTTATTGATTTCGTTTTTAAAATGTTAATTTTCAATGTAAACTATCAATTATCATTTTGAACTGTCAGTTGTCAAATCTTAAATGTCTAAATGTCATTGTAAGACCTCAATCGGAGTGATTAAACTACTCTTTGTTGGTTTGGTTTTTAAAATAGCAATTGTCATTTTATACCTCAGTTGTCATTTTGTACTGTCACTTGTCAGTTTAAGTTTTATCAACTGTCATTATAAGCCATCAATTGACGCGTTTAAACTGCCCTTTGATTTGGAGTTAAAATCCCAATTTTCATTTTACAATATCGATTGTCATTTTAAACAGTCAATTGCCATTTCCCAACTATCATTTTAAGGCATCAATGTACGCGATTTAAATGCCCTTTATTGGATTTGGTTTTTAAAATGTAAATTTTTAGTTTAAACTGTCGATTGTCATTTTAAACGTCAATTCTCATTTGTCAGTTCTCAACTGTTATTGTAAGCCATCAGTCGACGTGATTAAACTAGAATTTAATGTGGTTTTTAAAATGTCAGTTTTCATTTTGAACTGTCAATTGTCAGTTTAAGTTGCCAACTGTCATTGTAAGCCATCAATCTAGGCTTTATTGATTCGGTTTGTGATTTCGACAGTTTTGTTACTTTTTCTGATCTAAAAATCTATATGTATTGATTATTTTTAAGGAAAAACTGTTATAATAAAAGTACTTATATAAACAATCTATTTTTTTTATAAAACACTCGAAAATTCTACCCAATGGAAGAGTTGTAAAAATTGATGGAATTCCATTATTGATTTAGTTTTTAGCACAAGAACTGATTAAAAAATTTCGTTCATCCAAAATTGTTATTTTCTTTTATTTCTACTTATTTTTGTTTAATTTATATTTATTATAAATAATTTAGATCGATCATCCTTACGGGTAAGATCAATCTCGTAATTCAATACAATATCAACTCTTCTAACTCCTCTCGTAACAAACAAAAGTATCAAGTAAAAGCTAAGTAAATAAAAACATTTAATTATTTATCATTATAAATAAAAATTTTAAGAAATTTTTTTGTGTGAAAAAAACAGGAATGAATATGTAGGTTTAATTAATATAATATATTCAATTTTTGGTCTTCGATTTTAAGTCTTTTTTTCAGCAATTTTTAAATAATCCACATATTGTCCTTTACGTAAAGGATCCAACACAGCCAGTCTCTTGTAGAAATCCACCCTCCTATTAAGGTACTTATTGGCGGTAAGGTCCAAGCTACCAGTGAGCCAACATTTTCCTAAAATTACCCCTAAAAAAATAATTTATACAGTGATGACATTTGTCATTGCTCCAATTAGGCATTCCAAACTGAATGGCTACCAGTGGGTTTTGACGGGTTATGATATAGCAAAATTATGGCAACCCTGTAGGCCTGGTGATTTGACAAGGTCAATGAAATAGATAGTTACATAAATTGATCATCCATATTTTTCAAAATAAACATAAGCTTATGCCTTGAAGTAAAAATGTAAGCAATTATTTTTTTTTAATGTCTAAAGGCTAAAAATTAGTTTTAAAACACCTTTTTTCTAAACCGATTCAAATTAATAAATATTTGCCAGGCAATATGGCCGCTCGTAAACGACCAGCTTTGAGCAATCTATATAACTATATATGTATCATTGACCCTGTTAATGACAGCATGACAACAGGGTTGCCATATCTAAACTGTCATTACCCACTGGTAGCCATTTGGACAGGTCGTTGGAATGCCTAATAGGTAAGAATGACATCTGTCATTGATAGTAATGACAAGAATGACATGGTATTAGTCATTCCAACGACCTGTCCAAATGGCTACCAGTGGGTAATGACAGTTTAGATATGGCAACCCTGTTGTCATGCTGTCATTAACCGGGTCAATGATACATATATAGTTATATAGATTGCTCAAAGCTGGTCGTTTACGAGCGGCCATATTGCCTGGCAAATATTTATTAATTTGAATCGGTTTAGCAAAAATGTGTTTTAAAACCAATTTTTAGCCTTTAGATATTTAAAAAAAAAATAATTGCTTACATTTTTACTTCAAGGCATAAGCTTATGTTTATTTTGAAAAATATGGATGATCAATCTATGTAACTATCTATTTCATTGACCTTGTCAAATCACCAGGCCTACAGGGTTGCCATAATTTTGCCATATCATAACCCGTCAAAACCCACTGGTAGCCATTCAGTTTGGAATGCCTAATTACTAGTAGTGACAATGACATCTGTCATTGCTCCAAAGTACCTAGAAAGTTTCAAAGGTTTGGGTATCGTAAAAAATCCTACTTACATTTACAATCAGGTTCCAATTCCTCCAATTGTTCAAAATCATTTAACAGTTCGATTTTTGCCTGTACGTTAATTGTTGGATTACTTAAAACCCATCTAAAAATTAATCAAATTACTCGAATTTATAAATTCAACTTGTCAGTCTAACAAACTAAAAAGTCTTCATATGGTTTACAAAAAGAAAAACCTTTATTAGATACAGACTTCTCTTAAATGGTGCCTAGGCAGTCCATATACTTCTGAAGCCCTAAAAATGGTATCAAAGCGTCCAGATACTTCTCATCCCCTAAAAATCCAATAATGTATATCGTAAGGTGCATAGAGACGACATCCAACCAATATAGAGACGTAATAAGCTCTAGAATGATTTACAAAAAGTCTACACACCTTAAGAGATAAATTACTGGATTTTTAGGAATTGATAAGTATCTGGACCCTTATCACTCTTTACAAGAAGTTATCTAATAAGTAATAAGGTTTTGCTAAATTTTTAATGATCAAAATGTAAAAGTAACCTCTAGAGAAGATTTACAAGAAGTCTGCACTACTTAAGATCTTAAGAAATATATTATTGGATTCTGGGGGTTGAGAATTATTTGGACCATTTGATACCATTTAGAACAGGCCTGCACAAGATACGGCCCGCCATTGTCGTTTTCGTGGCTCTTTGTCCATTGACCAGTTTGGCCCGCATACGTCAAACTATACATTTATCAGTAACAAAATTGCATTTAGGCATTAAATGCCTTTTTTAGGAGCTCGATAGAAGGACCTGGTTCATTATAAGCTAATAACTTTTTTAAAACCTGCTTTATAAATTGTTAAGCTCAGGTCTCTCTTGGCACTCGTATACTTACAGTTTTTGAACTGGCCTTTTGAAAATCTGAGTTATGCAAGCCTGATTTGGAAGAAGCCTGCACTTTATAAAAAGTTGTAAATAATTTTTTAATGATCCAAAATGTAGCAGTAATCTTTAGAGATGATGATTTAAAAGTCTGAACTACGTGAAAGAGATACTGACAGATTCTTTGGGGTTTGAGATATATCATTTAGGAGAAGACCTGTTTTCATAACAAAACGTAGCTCTAGAGATTATTTATAAGAGAGAAATTGCCAGTTTATTAGGGGATTGAGAAGTACCTGGACTCCCTTGAGACCATTTAGAAAAACCTCTGTCTTCATAACAAAGATGTTCATAATTTTGTAATGATTAAAACATAGCAGTAACCTCTAGAGATGATTTACAAGAAGTCTGCACTACTTAAGAGATATATTGCTGGATTCTTAGGGGCTGGGAAGTATCAGTAATATCTTGGTATGATTTACAACTGCACTACTTAAGAGATATATTGCTGATTCTTAGGGATTGTTCGATGTCTGCCATTAAATAAAAGTTTCGCCATCCATATCGATACCTTTTTGCCAGACTATCGTAAGGGCCATTTGAACAAATGTCGCTTACGTTACTCTGGCAAAAATGTATCGATATGTATAAGCCTTAGTTTCATGTTCTTTTTTGTTATTGTTGATTGTCAATGAGTTTTTACTAATGTCCCGTTATTTTTTGGATAATATAATATACATTATTTCTCCAAACGCTTCATATACATTCCATTTAATCGAGCTCAGCCTGTAGAGGCACAGGGATTGAAAAGTATAAGGAATCTCTTGGTATGATTTACAAGAAGTCTGCACTACTTACAAGAAATATTGCTGATTCTTAGAGGTTGAGAAGTACCAGGAATCTCTTGGTTTGATTTACAACAAGTCTGTACATTATAAAAGAAAATAAAAACTTAGGATTTAGAGATCATTTACATGGTTTGAACATAAAAACATATGGTTTATGGAAGGAAATGCAGCAGAAGTGCCTTAATATGATTTACAAATAATTACATTGTTGATATTTTAGGTAGGAGGTCAAAAGCCCTAGAAATTATATTCAAGGGGGATTGGATGACCTGATCAGGCCATTTGGATCATTAAGCTGGTGCAAATGATAAAAACCGTGTGCCCATTTTGAATAAAATGTGAGAAATTTTGCCCCACACTGTTGACTCTCCCTGTATATTAATTTGATACCTTAAATAAAACCAAGCACTAGAATCACCAGGATCGGTAAAAACGGCATTTTTGACTAGATCTAGCTCACGTCCAACACAATCTGAATCCAATTTTCTCAAGGTGCTTCTGTAATGCCAAGAAGAATAATTGGAAAAATTGATATTGAGCCTCTCTGTAGAAAAACTAAGTTCATGGTCGAATGTTATTCCAATTTTGTTGACCAAAAGACGTCTATAATCCCACACGTGAACTAAAAATCATACAGAGATTTCAATATTAAATATTAATCTGTTAATTTTTCTTACAATTCCTGTCGTCCTTTGTGAGGTATTTGGTGCACAAAGCAAATTCATTGGTCCAATTTGGTTTTGGGTGGTTCAGTAAAACCCAATAGCGATGGTGCCAAGCACCATATGATTTTGGGTTTTCTGGCAAACATTGTTCTGTAAATTTTATTTCACTTTCCAGAAATGATATGAGTTTTTCCTCGCCTTCTAACTCATCCTGTTTGCTGAAAAATGTAAACCCCTTATTTTTAAACATTGTTTAACAGAAACACGTATTTAAGAGATAACTCATCTTTATGTGCTTGGCTAGGATCCCGACTAGAACTTATTTTGTAGTATGTTAACTTACCACATTCATATATCTACGATTAAATTTGTAGTATATCAGTGTAAATATGAATAAAAAGTGCTTTGGAGAAGATAACAAGAAATCGAGGTGAAATTACATGAATAGAAAATCTATTACCTAATAAATTAATAGAAAATAAAATCATACAAAATGTATTTAACGAGATAACTTGTAAGATCTTTTTTGCAAGAAAACACTTTTTCTATGCTTTTGGAAGATGGATATGTACTATAATTAGAGTTTTCAATAATTTAATAGGACAAAAATGTTATTGGCCTTTTAGAGCAAAATCCTGAAAATTACCTTGACCGAGACCTTGACAGATGTTTCAAATATATTTTATTTTGGAAATTCTACTCATAAACTACATGCTAAACAATACCTTTCTTCTATTTTCATCAAGATCACTTCCTTCCTGTAATTCCAAAGTGTATATACGTCAGGATTCGATGATAGTATAGATGCACTAATTTGAAGACTTTCTAAATCATAGCTATCTTTTTTCCTTGTTGATAAAATCTTTTCCATTCCCATGTGGTAAGCAAGCAATTTCTTTTGTTGTTCCTTCTGTTTAAGAGCTTTCTGCTCTTCAGAAGTACGAACCTTTAGTCTGCCGTGCTGGAAGAACAGATAAATTGTTTAAAACTTATCTAAATTGTTCCCAGGGACCATAAATATTATTAGATATGTATTAAATTTATTTAAGACGGAATTATTAAGATTGTCCAGCCTACTAAATATAAGAATGAAATTTTGTAATGGGTATTTTTTTAGTGAAACTTATTACAGGAAAATATATCTAATTAAAATGTTCTCACCATATTTGAATTTAGTAATTTATTAACTGATGGACTATCCTAAAGCTAAAATCACAAGCTAAAATATAACAAATTAATTATTAAAATTATATTTCTCATATCAAAAATAATAAATAATAAAATTCTTCCTTCGTGATTCTTCTTTTCTTACATTAATTAGCTGCAGCAGTGTTGCCAGAACTATTTGATAAAAAGTAACAGATTGATGGTTTAAAAGGTAATAGATTTCAGAGAATAGTAAAAATGAGGCTCTATCAAGCTAGCGGGCACTCTGTGGCGGCACCATACAGGCTCTATCAAGCTAGCGGGCACTCTGTGGCGGCACCATACAAGACCTGGTGGGTTTTTTGTAACTTTTTTGTAGCTTTTTTGTTACGCTATTTGCGAATTTGTAGCTTTGCCCAGGTCCGAAAAAACAGCGGATCCGCTAGATTGAATTTCCATAAATTCCATAGTAGCGGCACAGATTCAGACCCAGCTGGTTTTTCGTAACTTTTTTGTAGCTTTTTTGTTACGCTAGTCTCCCTTTTGTAGCTTGTACTGAACCTGAGAAAAGCGCGGATCCGCTAGCTTAGCGGATATTTTTAGCGGCACCAGCTCGGACCAGGCCCATTTTTTGTAACTTTTTTGTAGCTTTTTTGTTACGCCTGTCTCCATTTCGTTGCGAGGCCTGAACGTGAGTAATAATCGTTTCTCCATGAGCGTGAGAGAAAAGTGCGTTTATTAAAATCAAGTTTCAGCCTCTACAAGTAATATGTGCAACTCGATAGTGTGACTATCTGTTGATAGATGGCACCAGTATTGCATTTCACGAATTATGGCCATCTTCCATCCAATATATTTTTGAGAAATTTAGATATAATCCAAAGAAGTAGATGTTTTTTAGTGTTGTTTATGTATGTATATTTTTGTTTAATCAAGAATATTCTTACATCTTCTTTGAATGATTTCCTTAACCAATCGTTTTGCAGTATTTATGGACCAGTGTTTAATTCTGTCGGATCACAACTATACAGTGTGTTCCATCTCAGACGAGCCACCCTGTATATTTCTTATCCCATAGTAATTGGAAAAATTTCCCGAAATACGTCGGATGATTTTCTTTGGGGGGACATCTTTTGACGTATATTTGAGGCTTGAACCAGCAACCCCCTATTTTCAATTAAAAAAAAAAAAAAAAACAAAAATATTACCTAATACTTAATTTGGTAATAAACTCAAAATATTTAATTTTCAAAATAAAGTAGCTATCTAATAATAATGTTTATTTGTCAATTATATATAAACATTTAAATAATATAACTATAGGGACTGCATCATCTCACTGTGTTCTGTATATACCTACATCACGAAGATTAAAAACCTTTTTAGAAACATAAAAAAAAACCATTCATATATGGATCATTAGATTATATTTAATTCATACAAAAAATAAGAAAATACCTACATAAATGTACAAAAGTAGAGAGTATTTGAAAATAAATACATAATAAATAAATAAGCGATGACAAAATAACAAACACACAAGAGGACTTAGCTGAAAGTTTTAACTAATTACTGTTAAAATAATTTAGCTTTTTAAAGGGAGTTTATATCATGAGATAATTGATTAATTTAAACTCTGCCTTCCTACTTGTTATAACACAAAAATTAATAGAATTCGCAGCTCTTGTGTGGTACTGATGTATGTAAGAAATAGAAGTTGACAATTCAATACATTAATTACTATTTAAAAAATAAAGGTCATTGCCTGCACATAGAAACTGTCCCATATTCAATCAGTTCAACATAGTCAACATAAGCTGAATGATATATCTGCTACATCCTAAAATAGCTCTCGTTGCCTTATTCTGAGAAAGCTCTCAAAAGTAGAGTTAGAACATCCTGCGTGTATATTATATATTTGGCATAGCTTGTATCCTAAAGATATTTTAAACCATAGTGATTTGTAGATACTCAACCAAAAGTTCTTCTTTACTACCATATTTTGATTTTTTTACATTCGATTTCCTTTCCTGCATTTTCACAATTTCTTTGCTTGAACTTCTAGAGGGTATAAATAAAAGCGTCCTTTTTATATAAATTGTTGCAATTTGCCTGCAAGAATATACTTATTCCTCTGGTAATATCTTTTAGAACTTCTATTTTCTTACATTTCTTTGTTATTACTTTATAGTTTCGTATCATATTTACAGCTGAAAAAATGCAAAATATAGGTAATATTAGATTGTTTAGCCTCAAATATTTTTATTATATTACAAAAATAAAATGGCGAAAAATATAATATTAAGGTAAAATCATATGCACAGCTTTAGAAATAATTTAAAACCACTCACCTCCATGGAGAAAGGATAATTACTCGCCTCTATTTCAAAATGTACTCGAAATTACAACTTTACTTCAAAGAAGTTTCTTGTATATTATTTAAAATAAATAAACGTTTCTTCTAGTACATTTATTACCTTCACTTGAAATCTCAAAATATCAAGAGGTAGGCTTGTAGGCTACCAGTTTAACATTTTGGATAAATATGTGTTGCCTAACATAGTAGTAAAAGAGTCAAAATGGCCGCGCCCTATGTTGGGCGTATCAGACCTCTTTAAAAGTATGTGGTTTAGTCCAATTAGTGACAGTTTAACACGCTTAAATGTCATTTAAAAGTACCCTAAATAACTCTTTTGTTCCGCTCCTGCCCCTGACTAACCGAACTCGCCTTCTGTGTGTCGGTTTGTTCGTTGGCTTGGTTTTGTAAAACAAAAAAAAACTTCGACACAAGCTGATTGGTCTATTCCCGATGACGTATACATTTCAAATTTTAAATTTCAATTGGGCTTAATTTAAAAACTTTTGGCTTTTTTAACGAACTGATTATTTAGAATAACTTGTATAGCGACTAACTATTACAATATAATTTATAAAACAGCATATCTCACATGTGAACATGGCCCATTACTATGGGATACTACTATACGGGGTGTCTCGTCTGAGATGGAACACCATGTATATAGTGAGAATAGGTAATTGCTTGGTAGCTATTACCACCGGTGTGAAAGTCAGCAGTAAGTTTTTAGCAGTAAAAATAACCGAAAACACCCGATCGGGAAAATAGTGGCGTCCGGCATACAACTATTTTAATAATCTTGTCAATATGTATTTTACATTAATATCGAACAAATAATTAATATACATACCGTTGAAAATGTCCGATTTTGAGATTGTATTTAAATTTCTCAAAAATATATTGGATGGAAGATGGCCATAATTCGTGAAATGCAATACTGGTGCCATCTATCAACAAATAGTCACACTATCGAGTTGCACATATTACTTGTAGAGGCTGAAACTTGATTTTAATTAACGCACTTTTCTCTCACGCTCATGGAGAAACGATTATTACTCACGTTCAGGCCTCGCAACGAAATGGAGACAGGTGTAACAAAAAAGCTACAAAAAAGTTACAAAAAATGAGCCTGGTCCGAGCTGGTGCCGCTAAAAATATCCGCTAAGCTAGCGGATCCGCGCTTTTCTCAGGTTCAGTACAAGCTACAAAAGGGAGACTAGCGTAACAAAAAAGCTACAAAAAAGTTACGAAAAACCAGCTGGGTCTGAATCTGTGCCGCTACTATGGAATTTATGGAAAATCAAGCTAGCGGATCCGCTGTTTTTTCGAACCTGGGCAAAGCTACAAATTCGCAAATAGCGTAACAAAAAAGCTACAAAAAACCCACCAGGTCTTGTATGGTGCCGCCACAGAGTGCCCGCTAGCTTGATATAGCTCACCATACAAGACCTGGTGGGTTTTTTGTAGCTTTTTTGTTACGCTATTTGCGAATTTGTAGCTTTGCCCAGGTCCGAAAAAACAGCGGATCCGCTAGCTTGAATTTCCATAAATTCCATAGTAGCGGCACAGATTCAGACCCAGCTGGTTTTTCGTAACTTTTTTGTTACGCTAGTCTCCCTTTTGTAGCTTGTACTGAACCTGAGAAAAGCGCGGATCCGCTACCTTAGCGGATATTTTTAGCGGCACCAGCTCGGACCAGGCTCATTTTTTGTAACTTTTTTGTAGCTTTTTTGTTACGCCTGTCTCCATTTCGTTGCGAGGCCTGAACGTGAGTAATAATCGTTTCTCCATGAGCGTGAGAGAAAAGTGCGTTAATTAAAATCAAGTTTCAGTCTCTACAAGTTATATGTGCAACTCGATAGTGTGACTATTTGTTGATAGATGGCACCAGTATTGCATTTCACGAATTATGGCCATCTTCCATCCAATATATTTTTGAGAAATTTAGATATAATCCAAAGAAGTAGAGAGGGTAGAACGATAAGGTACCGTCTGCGCATCCATCACGAGTGTAGAAACAGAGACAATCCAGCGAGACGTGTAACTCAATGTATTTTTTTTGTTCGGTAAAAGTTATTTGGGCGATTGTAACCACAACCAGTCTATGATGGCGCCACTAGTAAATAGCGGGAAAATTAAAAATGCTTTAGGGCGGGAAATTCAAACATGGATTCAGAAATAAAGTTTTTCTATACAAATTTACAGGAGAAACAAAAACTATTGTTTCACTGTATATTAAAAAAATATAAAAGCTTCCAATAACATCAAATTTTTTATCACATAAATAATCATTTTAATAAAGGAAGTTTTAATCAGTTTAATATAAACAGTGAACATAGTTTTTATTACTCTTGTAAATTTCGCTAAAAAAAAACTTGAAAATTCTATTGATTATTAAATATTTAAACTTGGAAAAATAATACACCAAACTCTTTTTCTATAAATTATATTTTTGTAAGGTACAGAAAAACAAACTACAATTGCTTCGTTTAGAAAGTACCTACTATCATTTTGTGACAAATTACAAAGAAAGTAACAGTTGTTATATATTCATAATATATTTAAAAACTAATGTAACAAATATTTTATAAAGTATAGTATCGATACCTTTTTGCCAGACTATCATAAGTGCCATTTGAACAAATGTCACTTATGTTAGTCTGGCAAAAAGGTATGGACATGTTATGACTGTTTATTTTAATAGAAACCATGGAAACGAAACACACATACACTCAACACAAATGTATAAGGCCCAAGTCAAGTAAGTTCCCATCCTGTAAACTGGATCGAAACCTGCTAGACCCCTGCTAACTCCTCTTATAGTAATCAAGATCAATATATTTATATGCCATGCCTTCTAAAAGGGAATGAAGGATGACATACTATCATCATTTAAACAGGACGTTGCTGAAGGCTTACCTCTGTTATTTCGTTTGTTTGTGTATCTTGTGTGTGTGCATTCCTGTTGTGTCCCCAGTCATGTAAAAGTTTTCCTAGTCTCCTAATTTGTTACTAGGTGGACCTTCTCCAACTAGTAGTCTAATCTATTCGATCTGTTCGGAAGCAGGAGGTACTTTTCAAACATAGTAAATAATATTATTAATAATAAACACTATTTAAAGATAAATACATTTTGTATTTTTTTTGTCATTGCCCCTTACCTTTCTCTTACACCACCACGGTATACCTATTTTCCATATTCACTTAATTATAGTTTACCTTACAATGTTCGAATGAATATAACATTTTACTCATGTTTAACTCTTTTTCAATTTCATTTGAAACAATAATTGGTACCTATATTACAATTTATTATCAAAGACAATTTCTAATAAAGTTATAGCAAATCCTACTTAAACTACTGGTTGTTCTGCAGGATAAATTAACTTTTCTTGAGATTGATCTCTCTATAAAATCCAAAACCGACCTGATGTCCCCAAATTTATTTTCCAATGCATCCTGATTTAAAATTCAGCCCTTTTGTGATTCAATTTTTTTTTCTTCCTTTAGAGTGGCTGTTAGAGGTAGGTGTATGTAAGAAATAGCTAATCTCTAATCATTTCAAAAGTCCTTTGCCAATACTACATGTGCAGATTTTTTACTCAGCATACATTTTACTTTTCTAGTAGATAGGAACTTTGTGCTGCCATTAAAGCTGTCCAGACATTCATCTACCTACTTGATGAACACAAGTAGCTGTAACAATGGATCTCTGTTCCAATTCACCTAAAATAATTATAGTCATTGTGTAATATATTATTAAACACACACATTATACAGTGGTTTTCTTAATAAATTGGAAATTACTTACCTCTAAAAAGAAATGTGTACAAAAACGCGAGTTTGGTTCCAGAAATTGCTTCATGCAAAAAATAATATGCAAAAATAAACATTCCCCCCCAAAGAAAATTAATTAAACAACAAAATCAGACTAAAAGAAATATACGGGGCCCAAATTAAATTAATTTTAATAAAATGCACATGTTCATAACATTCATAACATTGTCAGTTGTCAGTTTTAATACTTTTAATCGATATTTCTACGTCAAAAAACCAGTAACACCAGCGCCCTCTGAAAATGGTGTTAGTTTTATTGGAGAGAGATAGACATATGTAAAGATCAATGTAAAAGAAAAAGAGGGTCATATATGTAATTTAAATGGACCACCGAACATATTTTCCTATTAAGTTACACATCTCTGTTGTCTCTGGTAGAAATTATGCGTGATTCAGCCTTCCACTCTTACACACGTAAATGACAAGGAGAGGTTGCCCTAAAGCCTTCGAGCATATATATTTATGCTCGAAGCCTAAAGCACTGTAAACAAATTCCACTAATTCCAGGATCGACTTTATTCAGCGATTATGTTCATGTTCAGCTCTGTTTTTTGTTTGTGTTTTGGCTGTTGTAAGATTTTTTGGCGTCAATTCTTTGTTATCTTGCTTATATTTATGATTTTTTATGCTTTTATTCCGATTTAGTATTAAATTATACTTGTTAATTATTTTTCGATGCACTATTTTATAATTGTTGCACAAAATGTTGTTAAACCGTCCCTGAATTTTGTTTACAAAATGGGCAAAACGAAATTGGGCATAGTGTCCAGACTTTTTCATTGACAGTTATCATTCTACCCAGAGACAACTATTCTACCCCTCTCCACTTCATTGATATAATCTCAAAATCGGACATTTGTTTTTAAATGTTTTTTAGTGTTGTTTATGTGTATTTATACTTTTGTTGAATCAAGAATATTCTTACATCTTTTTTGAATGATTTCCTTAACCAATCGTTTTGCAGTATTTATGGACCAGTGTTTAATTCTGTCGGATCACAACTAGGGTAAAAGGTACAGTGATTGGCCGTTTAAGAATGTTGATTTACAATTTCTTATGGAATTTTATTATTATTTAAAATAAATATTAAAACTTTGTACCAATATATGTAAAAAACTCGCAATTTTTAAAGGATATATCTTTATTTATATAACTTTTATAAAAAACTTAAAAAAATATTTCTTAACCGAAAATACATCAAAAACATAGTTATTGGCCTATGTATTACAGTCATTGTCCTTATTTTATATAGTTATTGGCCGCAGTTTATTTAATAAAAAAAGGCGCTTATTAATCTAGAAATTAGATGCAAAATTTTTTTTAAGCAAGTTGGGCAGTGAAAAATAGAGGAATTGCTTTTATGTAAATTATGTTTTTTTATACATGTTATATGATATGATCTAATACATGCTGTACATTTGAGACCAAAGTTTAAGGGCGATAAATTATTTGTACTGATGTAACATAAATTTGTATACAATTTAATATTAAGTTGTTCAGAAAGCCCAAGTTCATTTTCTAAAATGTCATCTAAATGTTTAAAGTCATCACTACTCTTTGTTAAAGTAATATCAGACAAAATACGTATTTTCTCATCAAATAAATTTCTTGAGGTTTTCCTTATCTTCTCTGGAATGAGATAATTAACATCTTCATCAATGGAAATTATTTCGTTATCAGTTGAACTATAAGCTTGTTGCTGGACATCTTCTAACTGTTGCTCCTTCATATCTTTTTTCTTTTCTCGGACATTATTTTTTTTACCTTGAGTTTGCTTTTTTGATTGGTTTTCTTTTCTAATTTCACCAATCTTTTTCACCTGCTTTTTATTTTTTTTTGCTTATTTTTCATTCTTCTCAGCTAGTTTTTCATTTTTCTCAGCTTGTTTTTGTTCTCTCACTTTTTTACGCTCTTCTTTTTCCATTTCCTTTCTAATTTTTTCATCGATTTCATTTCTCTTATTTTCTCTCCAATTTGTGCCAGTTATCACAAACTCTTTTTTTTTCTATATATCGCTTTCCCTTTCGTTTAGGTGATTTGGCCCATGCTAGAAGATCTCGAGGATCCAAGTTAGGGTAATTTTCAATTTGATTAAGGATAGTATTGTCAGACTTCGAACTATTATTAATATGTTCTTGATTGACAGAAATTTGTTCCTCAATTATGACTCCATTATTTCCATTAACTTGGAGATCATCAAATATTACGGGAATATCAGCTATATCAATACTAAATTCTTCATTGTGATTGGTCTCGAAGAACTCTTCGTTATTAATATTTTCAGACTTACTATTGGGTTCTATCTGAAAACCATTCAATGACAAGTTATCTTCTAGTGTTACATTGGTCTCTATATTTTCTGGCTGGGTTAAATTAGAAACGTTTTCAAGATTTTCTGCCTCTATATTTTCTAGCTGGCTTAAACTAGAAACGTTTTCAAGATTCTCTGCTTCCATTTCTTTAGTTGCTTCTGGTTCATTGTTATCAAATGCTTTCCATACTTTATACAGTGTACATTCCGATACAATATTTTTATTGTACGTGTCATTTTGAAATTTTGATAGATATTCATTCCCAACTATATTACTAAATGTCTGGAACGAAATCGTAGTCATTTCTGAAATTTTATTGTCATG